CAGACAAACAAAGAAACAACAAAAATTAAAATAAAGCGGTCTTCGGAAGGATCACCCTGCGATATATTTCGGTATAGCTGTATAGTTCCCGCAGTGGCAAATTTAGACTTTCGAAAAACTGTCCTTCATAACGAACACTCTTATCTGGTGTTTAACCAAGATTGCAAGCTGGATAAGACTATTTGCATTACTGAAATGAACGTTTAATCTAACGGTACCTGATTCTTGCTTTGGGCATTGTATAATTACGAACTGGGAAGTTATTGTTTGGTGGACACTCAAGCAATTCATTGCAGTGAGTTCCGTACGCCCAAATGCCCAGTGCCCAATTGCCAAAGCAACCTTTTATTGAAGCAGGTATATACAGAGAAGCCTCAGAGTGAGACGGTGCCTTCAATATATACAAACCTGAACGATGCATTTGTACTGCTAGGTTGATTCTTTTCTTCTTTGTTCCCATAATGTTAGCAGCTACCCAGTCGTAAAAACCGTTGTCAGCAGGACTCAAGTTGTTAATGGTAAGTGTACCTTGGTTTATAGTAGTCTTTCCAGCAGGTAAAGGCATTGCTGCTCCAGTCCAGGTTACCGCGGGGAGAGGATATCCGTCAGCTTGACATGTTACTTGAAACGTAGTGCCTTGAACTGGTGTGGCAAGTGAAGGTGAAACTTTTGTGAAGACTGGAAGACCTGAAATAGAGCCAATACATGATCGACCAGCATGCATAGAATATAATGGGGTAGGAGTTCTGAGAGACCAGCGGCACATATCCAGCAAAAATTAACCTAAGTAACATCTCCTAGTGGTCTAAGCTAAAAAGGGAGAAGGAGAAGGATGGTGTTGTGTGCCCTCGCGTTCATGTAAGGTCCAAATATTCCTGTCATGTGTTAATATCTTAAACATTATTTATTGTCTTTATGTTTGTATGGCTCAGATTAAACGTTGAACTACACTAGTGACTACTAGCCTAATGCCAATGAGTACAATCTATAGTCCTTGATCATTAGCATACGGTATGAGTGAGTAAATTTTAAGTTTGGCGTTATGCACCGCTTAAGAAATAAGAAAAAAATGAAAGAAGAGATAAAAGTAAATGATTAAATAACGGTGCCATCAGTTTTTATTCAAACCTCGTATTCTCGCATTCTCTCTGAGCACAAAGAAGCCTACAAAATCAAGCAGCCAGATATAACAAAACTCTAAGTTAAATGCTCCTCTCACCTCGAACAGTCAAGTTGCCAGTGGCCTCAGACGATCCAAGAATGTTCCTGGCAGCACATGTGTACGGTCCAGCGTCGCTGTAATTCAGATTTCTAACGATCAACTCTCCTTCTTTAATCAGATACTTTGCACCTGACAGAAGCTTTGTGCCCTTAAATTGCCATTCCACTACTGGGGAAGGGTTTCCTACAACCGTGCAATAAAATGCCGTATTTCCTCTCCTTCATCTCGTGTCTGCTCTACTGGCGACAACATCACTTGTGGAGCAGATATCGATTTCCCAGGCCTTCCAGGTGATCCCGACATGCCTTTTGGCCCAGGCTCTTCTTTGTCTCCCTTTTCTCCTCTCGGTCCTGCAGGACCCATTATTCCTGTTTTTTCCGGATTTTCCAGGTGGTCCCATGGGACCTTGAGGACCTTTCTTTCCCTTTGGTCCCCTCCTGCCACGTGGTCCCCTCGCTCCAATGGGACCAGGATATCCGGGGGGTCCTGAAGGACATACCTTCTCACTTGACTTACAGTACTTGGTGGGCATAAGTTGTTCAAACTGTTGGCTGATTTCTTTTTTCACTTCTTGTATGGTGATGCCAGTTGAAGTGTCGTTCAAACTGCTTCTTCGCCTTCTTACCCGGATGGTTGCTGATGCCTTTATTGGTAACGGGCTGACTGCAGTAAAGTAAAATTAGATAATACCTGTAAATTACCCATTGTTAAATTATAAAAATGAGCAAGATCGAGAAGGAACGAAAGAATGATACGGCTGACATTTGTGATAAAGGTAACTTACAAAAGAACAAGAATCGAATCTTAAGACCTGCGCACGAATTTCAAGCCAACCGAGTTCTTGAATACACCAACTTTCAATCGCTCTTGTAATCCCATAAGGGTTAAGAAAGTTTTTTCAAATTAGACTGAACTTCTTTGAATGAAACGGAAATATGTCCATGAATAATCTCTTAATACACGCCTTTTGTCTATGACTGATCTATAATGTCTATACTATTCGAAAATTTATCCAGAAAGTGCTAAACGAAAATAGCTCAATCTAAAGCAAACAGATAAATCTAAAAATGAATTGCCAAGAATTGGGTCATTATTGCTTCAAATTGGTCACGCAATACCTTTCAATTCCGAGACCCCAAATAACCTTAAACCCGAAGCACATGCAGCCCCCACTTAAAGAAATGTTTAAACTTCATCTAATGTGGTCTAGCTAAAAATCCTAAAAAGGCAATCTTGTTTAAAAGCTGTATAGTAATGATATCGACTATCTGGCGCGTGAAGGAATCTTGTTCTGCCCTTGTAAACACATTATTTATAAATTCAGCTTCATTTACGCTGTAGATCTCTTCAGTTTTTTATCAGTGCCAGTGGCTTAATTACTAACAGATCTAGGGAGCATTACAATACAGTTTCACAGTCTAAGTAAGACTAAGTTAAAATCTGATACTATTTTGGAATTGCAAAACATCCCGTGTTGTTAACGCGAACTCACGTCATGAAAGGTTATGTCTTAACCGAGGGAGGGTAAAAGCAGGTCTAAACATCCTCAATGTACACAAGGCCATCCAAGTAAGAAGAGTAAGAATAAATTTTACCTGAGGTATAGCCGTTCCCATCATCAGAAACGTGTGTCTGCATCTTCTTGGAAAGGTCTATTGCGATATCTTTTGTCGGTGAGAAAGTCATCCTGTCAAGATTATCAATCGTGCCACGCTTAGTGCAACGAACACAGTAAACACGAGATTCCAGTGAAATCAGTCGTTCGTTTGTTGCTTCATGTTTCACCCAAAGACATCCGCAAACTAAAACTAATACCACGGAAAGGAACGATGATCTAATTGACGGAACAAACTCAAGGACTCGTTGAGATTTTAAAGAGTTTACGGTTTTCATTTTTGTAGTTTTACGATCGTTTTCTTTCACAGCCCCTCGAAAACGGAAGTTTGAGGGAAAGTTTCAAGTTAAACCTGATCCGCTTCTGATTTAGCCCAGAAGAACAAAAGTGTTAGCTTACATTAGATTGACGTAAGCTGGGTTATTCTGCCGGTGGTAACTTTTCTCTTGTTGCACTCAAACGTGGTCTAAGTTGCAACAATTTCCGTATTCTAAAATATTGCAGAAACCAAACATCACGTTTACAGGAAAGGTAAGAGGTTGACCACATGACCATTGGCTTTATTTATCCTTCTCGATAACGTGGAGAGAATAAAGTTCCTCTTTTAGTAACAAACATTCGAGTATGAGTAATTTTATTTATTTACAGTAATTCTTGTTTTCTGTCACAGTCTCTCCACGTTTGAGGGAAAGTTGGAGGTTAAACCTGATCCCTTCTCATTAAGCCCATAAAAATGAGTGTATTAGTTAAAATTAGCTTACATTAGATTGACGTAAGCCGGGCTGCTCTGCCGGTTGTTCCTCCTGTTGCACTCAAATGTGTTCAAGGTTCCAACAGATACCATATTTTAAATTATTGCTTAAATCAAACATGACGTTTACTGGAAAGGAAACAAGGTTGACCACGTGACCATTAACAGACATTATTGATAACGTTGAGAGAATGAAGCCCTCCTTTTATATCAAAACTGAGTAATTTTATTGAATTTTAATTCTTGTCTGTAAAAACAATTAATACTAGCCCGTGAACGTGATCTTTTATCTATTTACTATCAGTATACATTTGTTATGAGTTTATATTATATTAATATTTTATATACTAGAACAGTCATGATGGCTACTGATGTGCCTCAGATAGTATACGTAGGGCTTACATGAATTAGTAACCTTTAATTACTACACTGCCAGAAGGCGATCGGGATTGTCACGTGACTGCAAGCAGTCTATACCTGTATATGAGATAATTAGAGATAGTAATTTTAATCTTTGATTACTAATATTTATATAGTGGTATTCGGCATTATGCTCGCGGACCAAGTAAAACCAAACTTTGATCAGTGTTATCTCTTAAGACTCTTAAGTTTCCTTATGGATTATTATAATAATTATGAAGGCCAAGCCACAGTTACAAACTGCCAGTGAGGACAGCCTGCTTCAGTAAAATATCTCTGTACTGCTTTTTTTTTTTTTTAACTTTGTTTACTCGGAAGCTGAGATTTCTTTGCCCTCATGATAAGGATGTAACTGTTTTCTGACAGATGATAGTATAGCTGTCCCCAGCTAGACTCGTACCCAGGTGAAAAAAGATTAGGGTTGGGTTAAGGCCTACGCGGTACTGTGAACAGCTTGGGAGATACTCTATAACACGCTTTTATCAGCCATTTATAATCAGAGCAGTTGGACCAGTTATAGATATCAAAATCATTTCTCTTTTCGACAATTCCATTTTTTGTTTGTTTGTAAAATATTGTAGTATACGTTGTAATGATTGTGTTTTGATTTAGATATAAGGGGCTTGCTGAGTGCTGTAGAGTCGTTCACCTTTAAGTGTCTACTTGTACAATCAGCTTAGCTCAAATATCAAAGCCGGCGTCACGCATTATATTAATGAGGTTGTTTCGTAAAAGGTTTCAACTTCGTCTGGTGTGAAGCGGTGTGTTCCTGCCAGGAATGAGTAGGCGAAGGTGCTGCCGTAGCTGTATCCGCTCGGTGGGCTGTAAGTATGGCCAAGGCCGCTGTAAGAATTGCTATTGGATGACGCGTAGTTTTGGATGTTAATGTCATGTCCTCCTCCGAATGTAGGCCCATAGGATGAGCTAAAGCATATGGAATCTTTGTTAGAACTATATTGCCCTGACTGGGACAATTTGACAGGCGCCCATCCTGGTTTGTTTACCAGCGAAAATAAGAAGGCTTTTGAGTCATATTGATACCGGCCAGAACCAGAAGCTAAAAGAAATGAAACAAAACTTTTCTAAGATAAGTTTATAGCGACATTGTCCTTGTGCCTGTCATAATGATGACGACGACGATGATGATGATTATTATTAATTAAAGACAATAAATACCTTATTCTCATAAAACAAATTCGATCGAGTGTTTTTTCTTAGCCGAAATTTGCAAATTTCACCAAAACTTGTGATGAGGTACGTTAGTCGCTACTTTTGCAATATGGGAATTGAAGGATGGAAGATCAGGGTGGCAAGAAAGTCAGAACAATATCGATATTTTATAAACTCAAAATTATTAGTATAATAGTATTAGCCTGGAATTTGGGCACGTTTTGACAAGCTAGAAATGCATCACTTATCATCTGCAGATCCAGACCTCTAGAGAAAGGATGGGGGGTTGGGGGGTGGCGCTCATTTACACCATGTGAGTGTAGGAGGGGCGGACCTCGCCCCTTGAGGAACGAGGGATATGGGCCTGCATCTAGAGCTATTAACCTAGAACCTTTGTCCGCCACTGCTTAACCATGTATGAAAGGTACAGTCACATGATTCCATATTGCTAAGTACCAAGCTGCACTTTTAGCTGAACATATCAATTCCAATATGCGCCAAAGGTGTTAATGCCACCGCCATGGCTTACAATGCTCACTTACCCCATGAAAAACTTGTGTATCCTCCGAAAATATATCTCCCGACCCTTATTAATGTCACAGTCGGGCCCTTGCTGTCACATCGGGAGTGAAATGTACTTGCAGCCCAGCCGTCCACGGATGCACGCCAACAGCGCTTCCAGGCAGATTTCACTCTTCGTGCTACAGGGGATAGCCAACTCCTTAAACTTCTCAAATGATTTTTGCTCTTTCCCACGATAACGGAGTCTTCTAGATCTGAAAAAGAACAATCGACACTAAATGGTGTAATGAGAATTCCATATCTTGGAGACTGGCCAGAATCGGACTTTCTTTGGAACTTATAGCATCGAATTTTGTCATTGTTGAGTTATTGACATACAAAATCAGTATTAGTATGCACAAGTGCATTATTTTTGGCAAAGTTAGCCCTAACGGATATGTAGAAAAGACCATTAACGGTCACCCTCGGGGCCAAGATCGCTTAATATAATACAGGTTTGACAACTCGATCAGGAAAATCAAAAAGAGGAAGATGGTGACTAAGCAGAATATCCATCATACATACATACATATGCATACATACATACGTTTTATTGAGTCTCCCTTTACAGGGCTTTTCAGACACAATTAACTAATTACATAAAATTTACAGAACTAAAGTCTAAAGTCTAAGAAGGTAAAACTAGAGTGTTTATTAAATATACTATTGAACAATAAATTAGATATTAAAATAGATATCCGATGCACCGGTGCAACGACAGTGACCGTTCAACAGAGGTGAAGCCATTCGCTGCCAAACTCGTTGGAGCCTTTGAAAAAGTGACCTGACGACCGCTTAATAGACTAAGTAGGGCCGTAGCTAGGTTTTTTGTAACGGGGGCATTTTCGCGAGTGCACAAGCTATGAGCCTTGTAGGGGGGTCTGCGGGTAACCTCCCCCAGGAAATTTTCAAATTTGGAGGCTCCCGAACGCTATTTTCAGCACTTGTCATGAGATATGGCTCCGAAAAATCAACCTCGAATATGAAAACGGCAAACAATTGCAAGACACCTGACTATAACCAAAATAACTGAGTCTAAAGAAAAAAAATCCATAGAAAGACTTGATGTCTCAGGCTCAACAGGTCCGGGGGGCAGCTACCCCCCTTGCCCCCTCCCCCCCGCTAGCTACGGCTCTGGACTAAGGGACGGCTTATTCAGTTTAGATTTAAAGTAATTGAGGAAAATGATCTCTGAGACTTTGGTATAAGTGACCGCTTATTAGTTATAGTCAGGTTCCCTTACAGGTTTGACTGCATGATATCAGTCCTTTCAATAGCTGCAAGAAACTCAAGTGATGAGGACAAAACTGATGTTATTATTTAAACTGTTGATAAAAACAGGATAAATTATCTCCACCTCACAGATGTAACTAGAACTAGAAAGTTTGGGCAAACGAAAATGACCATTTGCTGACAGTGGTGTTTGCCACCACCCTACGCCAAATAAATAGAGCAAACCTGGCTTTCGTTGTACGGCCACATTGATCCTGGCCTTCTTTGTTCCCATAATGTTAGTAGCAATACAGTCGTACAAACTGCTGTCAGCAGGAATTAAGTTCTTAATAGTTAGTGTTCCTTGGTTTACTTCAGTCCTTCCAGCTGGCAAAGACATTCCCACTCTACTCCATTTTATCACGGGACGAGGGAAACCTTCAGCTTGGCAAACTACCTGAAAGGTAGTGCGCTGTACTGGCGTGGCAAGTGGTGGTGGAACTTTTGTGAGTATTGGAAGTCCTAGGGAAAAAACATAAAACCTTACAATGAAAACAAGTACAAACCGTATAACAAAGAATAGAAACTACTGAGAACTATTAGAAAACGGAGCTTCTACACGATGTAAAGTTTTAGACGTTTTACCCTATATTAAGTCAGAAGCATGCTTCCGGTCTAGTTTAACGGTGAAACCAGAAATACACAAAAGGATGAATAACGCAAAACGAAATCAATTAACTAGTGGAAACCCGTTAAACAAGAGAAGGATGCAATCCCGGCCGTTTGTGAGCGTACACAACGATCAATCAGCAGCTGGGTGTGTAAATCTCAGAAGTTTCAATTATGTTCTTACCTCGAACAGTCAAGTTACCAGTGGCCTCGGACAATCCAAGAATGTTCCTGGCAGCACACGTGTACGTCCCAGCATCGCTATAATTTAGATTTCTCCAATCAGCTCTCCTTCTTTAATCAAATACTTTGCACCTGACAGAAGCTTTCTGCCCTTAAATTGCCATTCCACGATTGGGGAAGGATTTCCGGCGACCGTGCAATAAAATGCTGTATTTCCTCCCTCATCTCGTGTCTGCTCTGCCGGCGACAACATCACTTGTGGAGCAGATATCGATTTTCCAGGCCTTCCAGGTGGTCCCGGCATGCCTTTTGGCCCAGGCTCCCCTGCCTCCCCATTGCTTCCCTTTTCTCCTCTCGGTCCTGCAGGACCAGTTATTCCTGTTTTTCCGGATTTTCCAGGTGGTCCCATGGGACCTTGAGGACCTTTATCTCCCTTTTCTCCTCTCGGTCCTGCAGGACCAGTTAGTCCTGTTTTTCCGGATTTTCCAGGAGGTCCCATGGGACCTTGAGGACCTTTCCTTCCCTTTGGTCCTCTCCTGCCACGTGGTCCCCTCGCTCCAATGGGACCAGGATACCCGGGGGGACATGCAGGACATACCTTGTCACTTGACTTACAGTACTTGGTGGGCATAAGTTGTTCAAATTGTTTGCTGATTTCTTTTCTCACTTCATGTATTGTGATGCGAGTTGAAGTGTCGTTCAAAACTTTTCTTCGCTTCCTTAAGCGGATGGTTGCTGATGCCTCTATTGATAACGGGCTGACTGCAGTAAAGTAAGAATAAGAAATTTTTTAATATCCAGTGATTAATATTAAAAATAAATAAGGAAGAAAATATAACGAACAAATCAACGGAATGAATGATAAGGTTGATATTTCTAACATAAAATTAACGCTTTGGAGGTTGCGTTCAACAACAAGGTTAACAACTTTTTAATTTGTCCTCACTCCTCTTCCCTTGCTGCTTCCTGACATTCTAGATTTCTAGTTCTACGCACAAATTTCAAACCCCGGGGGAAGGGAACTTGGGTAAATTTTTGCTGGGTATGTGCCGCTGGCGTCTAAGAGCCCCTACCCCATTATAGTCTATTGTGTGATTAATTATAGGCCCTATATCTTAGTCACTTTTGGGCAAATATGAATTTTTCGCGTTCCAAACTTTTTATTTTTATGAATTTACCCATTTTTTACACTGTATGAAGAACACTTTACTTTTCATCTACAGAACAAACATTCTGGTAAGTTTGCGAACCGGAAATAAGAACTGTCTTACCACAAAAAATCCGAAAATGTGCGACCCCATTCTAGTAATTCTATTGAAAATGCAACCCCATTATAGTCAATCCAGTCGTGAAAATGTGGCCCTAACCAGTGGCTCATCCCTAGTAGCCTCTTATAAGGAAGTCCCTCCCCACCCGGGTTTTAAACCAACTGAGACCGTTCAATAAACGTACTTTCAATCTTGCCACCCTATCAAAGTTACCAAAGGTTTTATCAAGTAACCCGGCAAGCCTTAACACTCCTTAACCGAACTCCTCTAGAGGCATTTAAAAAAATATCTCAAATTTTACACCACCCTGACAATTTTATTCAGACAGTGCTATTTCAGACTGAATTTTCCACACCCGCTTTCAGACCATGCAGTCCTCTAAAATCCGCACCCGTTTTTAGATCTGGCCTTTAAACAGAAATTGTGTCATCATTACTTAGATTAGAGCGCAAACAAAAAAATTCTTCAAATGCATTTCGAATTCACGTATTTCTATTTCGTTCTTATTCATGTGGAACTGAAACGATAACTACATTCATGCATACGCTCCAGTAGGTTCCTCGAAAACCAAACCCGATTCCAGACCAAAATGACGTACGTTTATACCAGCGTTTTCAGACCAAAAAGGGCCAAGAACTACACCCTTTGTGGCGGCACATAATTGTATGGCTTTTAAAATTATACAAGAGTACCCTCCTGAGTATTGACCACATATCATGCACGTGAGCAAGTCGTTCGACACTTAAACTATGAATTCAACATCATTTACACCGAAAATTTCTTTATTGTTTTACCAGTATAGGTGGCTTAGTGAATATCTAAGCAGTATTACAACAGAGCGAGAGTGTTGCAAAAGGGTTTATACTGAATTAGCTGAGGTTAAAAATTCAGTTATCATCTTATGCAATATCCAAAGATCCCGTATGTAAGCGCAAACTCACACCATGAAAGATTATATGCCTAAATCAAAAGAGGATAAACTCAGTTCTAAACATGTATCTGCATCTAAATAACATCTGAAGTGAAGATCTTACCTGATGTATAACCGATCCTTTCGGATGCATGTGTCTGAACCTTCTTATAAAGATCTCTTGCTGTACCTTTTGTTGGTGAAAGAGATATCCTGTCAGTATTTTCAGTCGAGACACTCTGAACGCAGGGGAAAAGGTTAACGCGAGATTCCAGCGCTATCAGTCGTTCGTTTGTTGTTTCATTCTTCACCCAGGGACATCCGCAAACGAAAACTAATACAACAGAAAGAAACGATGGTCTTATTGACGGTACAAAATCAAGGAGACGACGAGATTCTGCCGGGGAGTTCGAGGATTTCATTTCTGCAGCTTGCCAATCGTCCCATGCACGGAAGATGGAGGTGAGTGGGAAACTTGCCAGTAAATTTGATCCTTAAAAATTTCGCCTGGAGAAACATGTCATTAAGGTTGACGTAAAAAAAAAAAAAGTCTTTATAGGGACGGCAAGGGGCCACGTGCGGACCATGAAAACCTTAATGGGGGAGGTGAAGTACAAAAATATAATATTCGTGCAAGGGAAAACTAAATGAATAAAATTAGAGCACTCCAAGTAACGCCAAAAAATATTCATGCTCTGGCCTAAGAAAATGAATACAAAGAAAATGCTAACGAAAAAAATTCATGCAACTTTTCCTATTGGTCTGTTCCTAATTAACTTTCTTCCTCACGCCTCGAAACAATATCATCTTCATTAGGGTGATTTCTCTTGCATATTGCGTGAACTGGACCATGGGAGATTATGTTCGCTGGCAAACATACTTTACTGAATAGAGGAAACATTTCATTGCAAACTGGGATTACCTAATTATTTAGCGGCAATATATGCACTTCATACGTTACAATCTTGGACAAAAAGTATTGAGATTTTGTACTTTCTTACCCACAGAACGCCTATCCCGCGGATTTGATACCGCTATGGCCCCTCCCCTCGCCCCACCCGGGTCAAATTTGTTTATTCGGGATCAGAAATGATCCAGCCGGGCTTCAACAGTGTTGGTTTTTTGGGGGGGTGGGGTGGGGGGAGGGGGGATTGAGTATCTGTAGTTGCCACAGTGAGTTCTTTCAAGTTTATCTTGAAACTAGACGCAGTATCGTCCATTTTTCTCAACATTTTTTTCAAGATTGTAGATGTGTTAGTACTGAGCCAGTTATGCAACTATTTTGATTAAGATTCTAGTTGAACGCCACTATTTTTATCTTGTGTAGTTAAGGTTAAGGGCGACAGACTTAGCCACCCCTCTCTAAGTGCCACACAACGCATTTGCGGGTTAAGTAACTCGCTGTCCATTTTTGTTGTATTTACAATGACAGCTGCTTGACACGGTCTTTTACTAGCACATGTTGTTTGTTAGCAGTGTCTTATACATAAATCAGTCTCTTTTGTATTGTTTATACATACGACGTAGCTAGGGATCCCCAAGTAGCGCACCTTACTTTGTTACATGATTACAAGTGTCTGATATCAGGACAGACTGAGTGGAGTAGCCCACGGGATAGTATTTCAACGCATATGTGGGCGTACTGAATTGAGCTCTTGGGCAAGAAAATAACTCATTGCCCTTTTCTGGTTTTATTTCCAATGACATCAGTTCATGAAAAAGTTTTTTTTTTTTATTAACGCGTGCTGTCTGTTAATCGAATCTTGACGTATGCTTAAAGCGCCCGATAACGTAACGTTCACGCGCTTGCACAATGGCGGCTAAACCTTTCTCTCGGTGACAGGTTTAACTCAGACACATAGTAACCCTGACACTCTCTAACGCGTATCTGAACTGTCCAGTAACAACAGTTTAATAATCCGTGGAAACAAACTTCTCTCCCCACGGTACTATCTACAAAGGTGGGATGTTCGCCATTCAGCCACCCAGTCAGATCAGAGCTGCATTTGCGAACCGGGATACAATTGTCTACCCTTCTTGAGTATGAACTTGACTGGAAGCGGTACCAGCCGAAAAGATAAAAAATAAATTATAAATATCATGCCAACAGAAGATAGGTAGCAGTACAACGGTATAAGGATGGTAACCAAGCACGGCTTGAAAACTATCTTCGCGACGCTTCTCCCGACCCGACTAACAGCCCCTGGGTCTCCGAAGATGACCTTAGTGTATAGCTGGTTGTAAAAATATCTAGTACATATCTAGAAGAAGTCCCTCCAATCTAGATTCTTTAACAAAAAAAAAGAGAGAGAGAGAGAGATAAGGTTGAAACTGGATTGAGGGCCTCAGCTAGGTCCCCATAAATCATTTCCTTATTGCTGTATCATTATTAATGACATGCGTAGTTTTCGCACGCACAACGTCCTCGACATTATATCCCTTTTGTACGATCTAGAGTTCCTCAAGTCATATTATAGGACCTGATACCGAACCCTAACCCTATCATCCTCTTGCACAGTAGCGATACCTGCCTTCAGGTGACGGGTTTAACACATACACATAAAACCCTTGACACTCCCTAACGCGTATTTGAACTATCCTATAACAACAGTTTTGCCATCCGTGGAAGCAAGCTTCCCTGTCCACGATGCCATCTTTAAATGTAGGGTGGCCACCTTTTAGCCACCCAGTTATATCTGTAGTGCACCTGTGGACCTGAATACAATTGTCCACCATTCTTGAGTATGAACTTGATTAGAAGCGATACCAGCCAGGGGTAAGATTGTTGTCTGAGTTAGTGCCTCGGCCAAAAGACTGGTGTCGATTGGGTTGACTGAGGACGTTATAGTCCCGGCACTCTGGTGCATCTGAATTAACAAAAAGGCAAAAGAGTTCCGCCATTTTGAATTCACATACAACACAAAGCCGAGGTGAACAGGTCTAACTAGAAGCTTGGGTATCTAACAATTTGAGCTGGTTGTTAGTTGTTATTGTAAATTTTAATAGCTTGTTTATATCACGAAAAGGTGTTTTGTTAACTTTAAGTAATTCTACGTTAACTTACAGATTTCACACTCATCGCCAAAATATCCTGGAAGACAAGTGCAACTATACGTTCCCTCTCTGAACGAAATCATGGAGCACATCCCATTGTTCAAACAAGGAACATTATTACAAGGATTCTGCAGGAAAAAAATCTTTACCTTAAAACACAATGATTGTGATTATAATGGAAACAAACGTTCTGCACTTCCTCATTATCAATGCTACCACTTTAATACGGCGAGCCTGTTAATACAACCAACAACCTTGACTGTTAGTAGCTTTTTTCGAAGTTCTCAAGCGTCATTTTCTTGGTATAGCTTGTTCTACCATTCAAATGCATTTTTGGTGGAAGTAATAAGTAAAACAGTCAGTTACTAACACTATTTAGATAGCTCTTCGGGATTACAAAAAAATGCCGGTTAACAATTGAAAGAAACAAAAAAGTATACAGAAATCGAACAACCAGACATAAACCTAAAAACACATATGTTCAGTGACTGAATCGAAGAATGCAGTAAAAATAAAAAATAAAAATAACACCCGCTTTCAGCGCTTTAATTGTTTTGCTCTTTTATATCTTCACTTCTAGAGAGATAACTTTGAATTCATTCTCGTCTGTGGTTCACTGTAAGTTGTAAAAAAGAGGCAATTATATATTAGGCTACATCAATTATTGTAGGTTTGCTACAAACCTGTATGCTGTAATGGTCAAATTTAAAATTTAAAACGATTTTCCCTGTGTTGTTATAGATGCTAGATGGAAGAAGCTCGCACCAAAGTTTTTCTGCAGACGTCTCTGCCAAGTTGAAGGAAATACAGAGTTTGTTATGAACTCAAGCAAAGCTACTGTCGAACTTGTCGTCGACGAGAAGAGTTTCCAGAGGTGTTATATTCAGGTAGAGAGAATCGTGAAAAACAAATCGTAGCTGTAGAAACTTTTCCCCGATCCCGTGTGCGTTTAAAACGTAAATGCAAGACACGAAAAGAAATGCCGATAAGAGTTTGATATCTTTTCTTCTTCGCTCTGCACTCATGATTTTGTTGATTTTGATTTCAGTGAAATCAGCTCGCAGTGTTTCCAAGCTTGGAGTAAACACAACCACCAAGGTCGTATTACCTCTGAAAAGTTGCTTTGTCGGTTGAACGCCTGATTAGTACGTTAGTTAATTAGCTGCTTGATATAAACAGTTCCTTATTTTAGGCTGCATGATCTGACCAGGGAGTCTTAATTTCTGCGACCACAATTACATAAATTAAGCAAAATGATGTAACATTGCAATAATACTTCACACTTACGTATATTAAGAGAATTACGTGGACTCTGTAGAAGTCTTGAAGGAACTAATTCTCCGCTTTTCTAAGGTGGACGGTAGCGTATTTCGGGCACTGACTTGCTATGTGATATGCTGACAGTACCATGTTCGGTAACCTTGAATTACAGCAAAGCAGTATTTTCTTAGTCTGTGGGCTTCTTATGCTATGGGAGTGAGTAATCAGTTACCGAGGCTTTCGCGGTATTGTGGAGTCTTAAGAATGTTGTTTTTCCGGCACGGGCTGAATATACTCCACACTAGAAAAAAGTAGACACCCGCATTAAAAAAACCGTGAATTTTATGCGGGTGTCTACTTTATTCCGCTGCTCTGAAGGAAGGTTAACTTCCTCGCTCGTTTCCTGTCACCTGACTCCAGGGAGTTAGAACACCTGCTCCAATAAGTCAGGATTGACGCTCTTCTGAATAAGAGAAATTTCGTATCTCCGCGCGGCCATGTAATATCCTCTATCTACGAACAAATTTCAAAACTAGCGTACTCATGCTTATAATGCCTATAACCTGATTTTCATTCTGAAAGAACACGTTACTACAAGGACTTTTTCGAAACAATTATGAGCCTTGAACGAAAAGAAATGTTTTTTTAGAAATTTTCCTTAATTTCTTTGGCAGTCTTATATGGGACTTCTTGAGACATTAAGGAACTAAAAGGAGCGAGATTTTATGCGTGCTTATCCCTTTCTTATGGTCGCCAGTGTTGTTCAACTGAAGATCTACCTGCAGCGTATCTTACTGGATTCGGGCTCGAGGAATAATTGTTAAGTATTTTATATAATAGCTCCTTCATAAAGGATGCTGATGTGCCGTAGATTTTATATGTAGGGCTTACATGAGGTAGTAACCCAACGCTGGTAAATTTAATTGCTACACTGCTAGAAGGTGATCAGGATTGTCACGTGACTGCAAGCACCTGGGATTTTGGCATCTTATTCGTAAAAACTCGTAGATGCCCTAAATTACTCTCACCAACATGGTGAGTTATCTGGTTCACAAAACAAGCATTACACTGTTCATCCTCGGAGACCCAGGGGCAGTTACTCGGGCCGATAAAATGTTCGTGGTGAAAGTTTACCGATCTTACAGTAAACTTTCACCACGAACATTTTATCGACCCGACTAACTGCCCCTGGGTCTCCGAGGATGTACACTGTTAGAAAAGAAGGAAAAAGATAGAAGATTTCTTAAAATTGAAGACCAATTTCACTGGTTAATGTGGATGTGAAAATTGCGTCCAAGGCTATCGCAAGACGATTAGGAGCAGTAATGCCATTACTTATTTCCGCCAATCAAAACGGTTTCATTAAAGGACGGTCAATTTTAGACGCGGTACAAACTATTGATGACGTTCTTGAGATCGGCAAAATAATGATTCAGAACGAATCCGGCATTCTACTCCCAATTGATTTTGAAAAGGCTTTCGATTCGCTGAATCACGAATTTTTATATCAGGTTTTACAGAAAATGGGTTTTCGACCTAATTTTCTTTAATGGATTAGGACCTTCTATAGGAACTTGTCAACCTGTGTACCAAATAATGGCTTTATAACCGATATCTTTTTTGTTAAATGTGGGGTAAGACAGGGTGATCCTCTCTCTGCTTCATTGTTCATTCTTGCGTTGGAAACGCTTTTATATGTCAAATTCAAGAAAAAAAATTAAAGGCTTTTTAATTAATGGGAAACAAATCAAAACGACCCTTTTTGCCGACGATATGATCTGCTTCTTGAGAGATACAAATTCATACTTTCAACTTCAGACATCTTTACAAAATTTTGCCAGATAATCAGGCCTTCCTGTAAATGGTGAAAAAACAGAAATTTTTGCAATTGGTCCTCACAGTCTTGTTCAAGATGTTTTTACTCACAAAATACGTAGTATGATCAAAATGTTGGGAGTTTATTTTAATTATGATACCCCAGCTAGATTGAAGGCCAACTATGAGTCCATCTTTAAATCACTCCAGGGAACTTTAAATAGCTGGAAAGGTAGGGCCTTACCCTGATAGGAAAAATTCAGATTGTATTAAGTCTTTTATTATCCCGAAATTTCTTAGCAAAGCAGCGTTGATCTCAGTACCTGAAGACCCTGTTAGAGATCTACGCTAATAAATGATATTTATGATGGTGGTTTGAAAATGTTGATATTCATTCAATGATTTGCGCTCTGAGAGTAATGGTATTAAAAAAATAAGCAGACGAGGAATACCATAGCTCTTGGAAAATAACCCTGGATTATTTTCTGTCTGGGGTAGGGGGTATGTTCATCCTCCACTGTAATTTCGATACAAAAAAAACCTCCCAATTTACCTTTCGCCTTTTTATAAAGAATGTCTGGATGCCTGGTCTCGGCTAAATAAACAAAATATTCTTTCATACGAGGACGTTGCGAACCAAGTAATTTGGAACAATAAACACATTATCATCAGAAGACATTTTAACTGTAGGCGATCTTTTCTTTAGAAGGGTTAACAGGACCTCTCTCCGATTGACCGTTTTAAGTTAATGGATCTTATGGACGCGGTACCTGTAAATGGAGAAAACGTGTGAAACAAAGCAGTCATTACACTCGTCCTGAATTGATGCATTCAAAATAGCGAAACAAACTCCTCCATCTGCTCAAAAGAGGTTTCAGGATCAATTTCCTGATGTTCAATTTGATTGGAACGAAATATATTCGCTCTCCCTTAAAGTGTCGCTAGAAACAAAAATTAGAGAATTCCAATACAAGGCTTTGAATAACCTTGTTTTCACGAATGAAAAGTTATTTAAAATTAAGATGATTGATTCGCCACAATGTACCTTTTGTAAAAACGAGATTGAATCCCTTGAGCATCTGTTATACAGTTGCGAAATAACAAGATCCTTTTGGGTAGCGCTCCGTTCTTGGCTTATGGAATGTAATATCAAATGGAACCAGGCCTTTGTCGTTTTTTAACGTCTTATTTGGCATATTCAACGCAGGAGAAGATTTTGTCATTGTAAACAATCTTATTTTAGTGGCCACGTTTTACATTTATCGCTGTAAATTATATGTTGTTAAACCAGCAATGCGGGTCTTAAAAATAAAAATCGGAGCGATACACAATGTAGAAGGTAGAATAGCATTTATGAGGAATAAGGTAGAATTCCATGACAAAAAATGGGAAAAAATCAAATGTTGTCTCAATTGAGTCTATCCCCCCCTGTTTTTCTCTCTGTCTGTTATTGTTATTTGCATATTTCTGTTGTCGAGGATACATATCCATTTGATTTTTTTTTTTTCAGGATTAAGTGTAGTATTGCTTCTGTTTATGTAAGGTTGTAACGCCAGTATCAAATTGTAATTTGGTGTAAAACCAAACTTTGATCAGTGTTATCTCTTAAGACTCTTAAGTTTACTTATGGATTATTATAACACTTATGAGGGGCAAGCCACAGTTACAAACCGCCAGTGAGGACAGCCTGGTTCAGTAAAATCTCATTGTACTGCTTTTTTTTTCAACTTTGTTTACTCGGAAGCTGAGATTTCGTTGCCCACATGATAAGGATGTAACTGTTTTTTGACAGGTGACAGTATAGCTGCCCCAGACTCGTACCCAGGTAAAAAAAGAAAAGATTAGGATTGGGTATAAGACCTACGCGGTGCTGTGAACAGCTTGGGAGATACTTTATAACACGCTTTAATCAGCCATTTATAATCAGAACAGTTGGACTATTTAAAGATATCAAAATCATTTCTCTTTTTGACTATTCTATTTTTCGTTTGTTTGTAAAATGTTGTAGTATACTTTCTAATGACTGTGTTGTGATTTAGGTATAAGGGGCTTGCTTAGTGCTGTAGATTTGTTCACCTCTAAGCGTCTACTTGTACAATAAGCTCAGCTCAAATATCAAATCCAGTGTCACGAATTATATTTTTAATCAGGTTGTTTCGTAAAAGGTTTCAACTTCGTCTGGTGTGAACCTGTACGATCCTGCCAGGAATGTTTTGGCGAAGGTGCTGCGGTAGCTGTATCCGCTCGGTGGGCTGTAAGTAAAGCCAAGGTCGCTGTAAGAATTGCTATAAGATGACGCGTAGTTATAGATGTTAATGTCATGTCCTCCTCCGAATGTAGGCCGATAAGATAAGCGAAAGTATATGGAATGTGCTCTGCTAGAACTAGATTGCCCTGACTGAGACAATTTGACAGGCGCCCATCTTGGTTTGTTTACCAGCGAAAATAAGAAGGCTTTTGAGTCGTACTGATACCGGCGAGAACCAGAAGCTAAAAGAAATGAAACAAAACTTTTCTAAGATAAGTTAGCGACATTGTCCTTGTGCCTGTCATAATAATGACGATGATGATGATGATGATTATTAATTAAAGACAATAAATACCTTATTCTCATAAAACAAATTCGATCGAGTGTTTTTTCTTAGACGAAATTTGCAAATTTCACCAAAAACTTGTGATAAAGCACGTTAGTCGCTACTTTTGCAATATGGGAATTGAAAGATAGAAGATCAGGGTGGCAAGAAAGTCAGAACAATATCGATATTTTATAAACTCAAAATTATTATTATAATAGTATTTTAGCCTCGAATTCGGGCACGTTTTGACAAGCTAGAAATGTATCGCTTACTATCTGCAGAACCAGAACTCTAGAGAAGGAGTGAAGGGGGGGGGTTGCTCATTCACACCATGTGAGTGTAGGAGGTGCGGTCCTCGCCCCTTGAGGAACGAGGGATATGGGCCTGCATCTAGAGCTATTAACCTAGAACCTCTGTCCGCCGCTGCTTAACCATGTTTGACTAAGACCCCTAAATTTACCGTTAAATTTGACCTAAAACTCGGTGGAAAGGATCGAACATGATATAATTTGACAGATCAGACCTATTTCGGTTACAATTTGACTTTATATTTCGACGGATTCGATTTTAGGCGGTCTTAGTTTTCGTAATCTCGAAAACTAAGACGGGTCTTAGGTCTTGGGTCTTAGTTTTCGAGGGTCTTAGTTTTCGTAACACCCTCTGAACGCGGGGGAAAAGGTTAACGCGAGACTCCAGCGCGATCAGTCGTTCGTTTGTTGTTTCATTCTTCACCCAGAGACATCCGCAGACAAAAACTAATACAACAGAAAGGAACGATGGTCTAAGTGACGGAACAAAATCAAGGAGTCAACGAGATTCTGAGGAGTTCGAGAATTTCATTTCTGCAGCTTGCATGCCAATCGTCCCATGCATATGAAGACGGAGGTAAGTGGGAAACTTGCCAGTAACACTTGAACCCTAAAAATTTCGCTTAGAGGAACATGTCATCACGATTGGCGAAAATATAACAAGACTTTATAAGCAGTGTCACAAGGCACGGCACTGACAGTTTAAAAAAAAATTAACTTATGGCCATGGGGGAGGAGGAAGGTGAAGAACAAAAACAAAATATTCGTGTAAGGGAAACCTAAATGAAAAAATTCATGCACGCTAAGAACCGAAAAAAAAATTATTCATGCACTAGCCTAAAAAAATCATATAAAGGAAATGCTAACGAAAAATCCTAATAGACCTTCTTCCTTTGGCTTTTTAGTAACAAACATTCGAGTATGAGTAATTTTGTTTAATTTAATTCTTGTTTTCTGTCACAATCTCTCCACGTTTGAGGGAAAGTTGGAAGTTAAACCTGATCCCTTCTCATTAAGCCCATAAAAACGAGTGTATTGTTGGTTAAAATTAGCTTACATTAGATTGACGTAAGCCGGGCTGCTCTTCCTGTTGTTAACCTTCCTCCTGCTGCACTCAAATGTGTTCAAAGTTCCAACAGATACCATATTTTAAATTATTGCTTAAATCAAACATGACGTTTACAGTAAAGGAAACAAGGTTGACCACGTGACCATTAACAGACATTATTGATAACGTTGAGAGAATGAAGCTCTCTTTTTATATCAAAACTGAGTAATTTTATTGAATTTTAATTCTTGTCTAAAAAAAAAATTATAAAAAATAAAATTAAAATTATATCAAGGTAGAAAATGTTGCATCACGGCAGTAAAAATATATCAAGGTAGAAAATGTTTCATCACGGCAGTAAAAATATATCAAGGCAGAAAATGTTCCATCACGGTAGTGAAATGATATCAAGGTAGAAATTATCGCATCACGGCACTAAAATGATATCAAGGTACTAAATGTCCTACGACGGCAGTAAAATGATATCAAGGTAGAAAATATCGCATCACGGCGGTAAAATGATATCAAGGTAGAAAATGTCGCATCACGGTAGTAAAATGATATCAAGGTAGAAAATGTCGCATCACGGCAGAAAAAAAGATATCAAGGTAGAAAATGTTCTATCACGGGAGTAAAATGATGTCAAGGTAGAGAATGTCACATCACGACGAAATTATATCAAGGTAGAGAATGTTACATCACGGTAGTAAAATGATATCAAGGTAGAAAATGTCGCATCACGCCAGTAAAATTATATCAAGGTAGAAAATGTTACATCACGGTAGTAAAATGATATCAAGGTAGAAAATGTTCCATCACGGCAGTAAAATGATATCAAGGTAGAAAATGTTCCATCACGGCAGTAAAATGATATCAAGGTAGAAAATGTTCCATCACGGTAGTAAAATGATATCAAGGTAGAAAATGTTACATCATGGTAGTAAAATGATATCAAGGTAGAAAATGTTACATCGCGGTAGTAAAATGATATCAAGGTAGAAAATGTTACATCACGGTGGTAAAATGATATCAAGGTAGAGAATGTCACATCACAGCAGTAAAATGATATCAAGATAGAAAATGTCACATCACGGCAGTAAAATGATATCAAGGTAGAAAATGTTACATCACGGTAGTAAAATGATATCAAGGTAGAAAATGTTTCATCACGGGAGTAAAATGATATCAAGGTAGAAAATGTTATGTCACGGTAGTAAAACGATATCAAGGTAGAAAATGTTACATCACGAACCGTAAAATGATATCAAGGTGAAAAATAACAATGGTTGGTTGATGCTATCACAGATATGTCACAACCACATTAAACAATACGTTTACAAATAATTTTGAAACAAACGGCGCACCATAGAATGAAGCCCTCTTTTCATATCAAAACTGAGTAATTTTATTGAATTTTAATTCTTGTCTGTAAAAACAATTAATACTAGCCCGTGAACGTGATCTTTTATCTATTTATAATCAGTATACATTTCTTATGAGTGTATATTACATTAATATTTTGTATACTAGACATTCATGATGGCTACTGATGTGCCTCAGATATTATACGTAAGGCTTACATGAATTAGTAACCCAACGCTCTTAAATTTAATCTGTACTACACTGCCAGAAGGCGATCGGGATTGTCACGTGACTGCAAGCAGTCTATACCTGTATATGAGATAATTAGAGATAGTAATTTTAATCTTTGATTACTAATATTTATATAGTGGTATCCGGCATTATGCACGCGGACCGAGTAAAACCAAACTTTGATCAGTGTTATCTCTTACGACTCTTAAGTTTCCTTATGGATTATTAATTTATAATACTTATGAAGGCCAAGCCACAGTTACAAACCGCCAGTGAGGACAGCCTGGTTCAGTAAAATATCACTGTACTGCTTTTTTTTTTTTAACTTTGTTTACTCGGAAGCTGAGATTTCTTTGCCCTCACGATAAGGATGTAACTATTTTCTGTATAGCTATCCCCAGCTAGACTCGTACCCAGGAGAAAAAAGATTAGGGTTGGGTTTAGGCCTACATGGTGCTGTGAACAGCTGGGGAGATACTTTATAACACGCTTTTATCAGCCATTTATATTTATAATCAGAGCAGTTGGACCAGTTGTAGATATCAAAATCATTTCTCTTTTTGACAATTCTATTTTTCGTTTGTTTGTAAAATGATGTAGTATACGTTCTAATGATTGTGTTGTGATTTAGATATAAGGGGCTTTCTTAGTGCTGCAGACTCGTTCACCTCTAAGCGTCTACTTGTACAATAAGCTCAGCTCAAATATCAAAGCCAGTGTCACGCATTATATTAATTAGGTTGTTTCGTAAAAGGTTTCAACTTCGTCTGGTGTGAACTGGTAAGTTCCTGCCAGGAATGTTCGTGCGAAGGTGCTGGTGTAGCTGTATCCGCTCGGTGGGCTGTAAGTATAGCCAAGGTCGCTGTAAGAATTGCTATTAGATGACGCGTAGTTTCTGATGGTAATGTCATTTCCTCCTCCGAATGTAGGCCCATAGGATGAGCTAAAGAATATGGAATGTGCTCTGCTAGAACTAGATATCCCTGACTGAGACAATTTGACAGGCGCCCATCCTTGCTTGTTTACCAGCGAAAATAAGAAGGCTTTTGAGTCGTATTGATACCCGTAAGAACCAGGAGCTAAAAGAAATGAAACAAAACTTTTCTAAGACAAGTTAGCGACATTGTCCTTGTACCTGTCATAATGATGACGATGATGATTATTATTACATTAATTAAAAACAGTTAATACCTTATTCTCATAAAACAAATTCGATCGATTGTCTCAGTAATGTTCGTCATTTATCAAAAACGAAATCAGTTTCTATGTCTTCTTTATTATTATCATTATCATTATCAATATTATTATTATCATTATTATTATTATTATTATTATATTATTATTATTATTATTATTATTGATAACAAAGCTAACTATAAAATCCTATTTACAATTAATTTCACTTAAAAAACTATTCCGTCCAAGCACTATTTACATTATTCCTTTCGATTAAAAGAAGACACTTAATTTCGATTGAAAAATAATAATTATTATTATTATCATTAATTTTAATACAAAACTTTATTCATAGATTGAAAAAAAATAGACCATTTACAGATTCAAAAATATGAAATATTAAAATATATACCCTATGTACATTCTTCTTGTGTACGAAAAAGAAATGTCGTAAAATGACTATCTGAAGATTATTATTATTATTATTATTATTATTATTATTATTGTTATCATCATCATCATTATCATTAGTATGAATATTATTTTATTGCATTATTATTTACGTTCAGGTATTTTGGTAAAAGATACAGCTATACTAAAGGCAAGCGTGGTTCGTCCGCTCAGGAGAAAGTTTTATGTGGCTGCAAGCTCACCGAGGCTAAGGTGCCGGCCTGTGGGAGATGTTATTTTTAAAAGATTTGCAATTACAAGCAATAGATCTGGGAAAAAATTAATAATTAATAAGTTATGTTCTTTTATAACTTTATGGAGCAAATCTCCAAATTTATCTGTTTTTGTCTTTTTTACCACTTACCGAAGCTAGAAGCTTCTTTTTTACATGAACTGGTGCATGTCGCAATACACTTTTATTGGTAAATTAATACTTCGTTTGATTTTAAGGGTACTGTATTAAGAAGACAATAAAAGGAAACAGACAATAAAGAGTTTTAGGAGCCTTTATCCTTGAAAAGGTATAAAACATTATGTATTTCTGTCACCCATTTCAGTCTATTAAGTACGTTCGAATCCGAAGAGAAGAATCCTCTTCGCAACATTTCACTTAGGCAAAATTACGAAAGTTTGATCGGTGAAATGAACCTTCGTCTCGGTGTATCAGGTACGTGGACATGTCAAGAGAGCGTGTTTTTTCTTTGCCAAAATTTGCGGATTTCACCAAAAACTTGCGATGTAGTACGTTAGTCGCTTCTTTTGCAATATGGTAATTGAAGGATGGAAGATAGCAGGGTGGCAAGAAAGTCAGAACAATATCGATACTTTGTAACCTAAAAATTATTATTGTAATAGCGTTAGCCTGGAATTTGGACCCGTTTTGACAGGCTAGAAATGCATCACTTATCATCTGCAGAATCAGAACTTGAGAAGAGGGGTGGGGGGTGGCGCTCATTCACACCATGTGAGTGTAGGAGGGGCGGTCCTCGCCCCTTGAGGAACGAGGGGAAATGGGCCCGCATCTAGAGCTATTAACCTAGAACCTTTGTCCGCCTCTACTTAACCATGTATGAAAGGTAGAGTCACATGATTCCATATTGCTAAGTACCAAGCTCCACTTTTAGCTGAACATATCAATGCCAACTGATTACGTCAAAGGTATAGATGCCACTGCCATGGATTACAATGCTCACTTACCCCATGAAATACTTGCGTATCCTCCGAAAATATATCTCCCGACCCTTATTATTGTCACAGTCGGGCCCTTGCCGTCACATCGTGAGTGAAATGTACTCGCAGCCCAGCCGTCCACGGATGCACGCCAGCAGCGCTTCCAGAGAGAATTGACGCTTTTTGTGACAGGTGCAAGCCAGTTGCTTAACGAGGTTAAGTGATTTTTGTTGTTTCCCACAATAACAGAGTCGTGCAAACCTGGGGAAAAAAATTCGACTTTTGCTATTTGACAAAAGAACTCTGTTGAAGCCAAGTAGAACTGTTTAAAAATTTGGCATCAAATTAATCCTTTAACAAGTGTAACATTGCGAGTGACTAGAGGATAGATAGCAAAAGTCACTTTATTTTCTGGAGAGCAAATTTTAGGATTTATACTTAAACTCGAGTATAGGCTTCCCTCCTTCTTTCCCTTTAAACAATTGCAACACAAGCATATTTAGCCTTTAACAACGACACTGCTTTTTAACAATAAATAAAAGGCCATCACCAACGGCGGTCCTATATGTTTTACATTCCACTTAAGTATACACTGTAGTCTGAGTCAGCTAAGCCTATTAAAGTAGTCTTAAACAGGATTCAGGAACCCTTGGTCTTGCGATCTCTGTGACCTTTAACAAAGGTCACCAGGCGTCAGTTTAGGCAAAAACGTGGATAGCGCTATCCAGTGGATAAATCTCTATCCAGTGGATAGTGCAATTGGTTTCCCTAATACTTATCCACTGGATAGTGATTTATCCGATGGATAGCGCTATCCAGCTTTTGAACAACTGGGGCCTGATGTTTATGTTACTAAATGTTTAATTTATGTCTGTGCGGACCTTGCAGCCTAAGACAAACCTGCAGCTGAGCTACGCTGCACTGCCACGCTCACCCTACTTTTCTTTGTTCCCATGATATTAGTAGCTACACAGTTGTATAAACCGGTGTCGGCAGGAATCAAGTTGTTAATGGTGAGTGTGCCTTGGTTTATTTTCGTTTTTCCAGCAGGTAAAGGCATTCCTACTCTAGTCCAGGTTACGACGGGACGAGGATAGCCTTCAGCTTTACACGTTACTTGGAATGTAGTGCCTTGTACCGGTGCAGCAAGTAAAGGTGGAACTTTTGTGAATATGGGAAGACCTGAAAAAATAATTATCAGGTTTACATACTAAAACTACATGGACGACATCGGGAAGGAGGGGAGGGAGGGGGGTACTCAACACAGTTTTATACTTGGAGGCTCCGCCCCGAGGTCCAACAACATAATATTATGTAACTTTCAACAGAAAAGATGCCCCTTTCACATGCGTAGTTTAGAACTTTGCATGAAGGGAGATCAACGCACTGTCTTTAAGATATGAATAAATCACAAAGGCAGAAAAATTTCTCGACTTTTTCACAGCCATAAAATCCTTCCGCTAGCCCTTTTAGATCTTCCTACAGACCGAAATGACAGAGTTCTCTACACTATTATGTACTTCAGCTAGTAAAACACCAACCCTTCCATATACCTGAAGCCTCAAAATGGTACCCCTTTCGGAAATAGCCTCTCCACCCAGGACATTAGAAGAAGTACCCTCAGGGGAACGGCAGGATTACAACTTCGAAAAATGACAAATTAGGTATTTCCTTTACCGGGAAACTTTGCACAAGAAATGTTCGTTTGCATAACAGAAAAAAAGGAGCGATGAAACCAATTAGTTATTGGCTGGCAAATCTGTTAAAGGGTTTTTTCAAGAAGTCGTAGTCTGACGGCTACTAAAGCCTTAACCGGATTCTGAAAGCGTGTCAAAATAAAGGTCAGGTGAGGATGATGTTCTGTCAGTGTGCCTTCACATCGTATAGTTTTCTTGAGATGTTTATGCGCCGTTCAATTCTCGCAACCTTATTACCTTGCAAGAACATGTAACATATACTGATATAACAAACAAAATTTGACGGCCTGTTATACAACAAACCTCAAGAATGAAATACTTCTCTCACCTCGAACAGACAAGTTACCAGTGGCCTCGGACGATCCAAGAATGTTCCTAGCAGCACATGTGTACAGCCCAGCATCGCTGTAATTCAGATTTCTAACGATCAACTCTCCTTCTTTAATCAAATACTTTTCACCGGACAGAAGCTTTATGCCCTTAAATTGCCATTCCACGACTGGGGAAGGATTTCCGGCGACCGTGCAATAAAATGCCGTATTTCCTCCCTCATCTCGTGTCTGCTCTGCTGGCGTCAACAACACTTGTGGAGCAGATATCGATTTTCCAGGCCTTCCAGGTGGTCCCGGCATGCCTTTTGGCCCAGGTTCTCCTTTATCTCCCTTTTCTCCTCTCGGTCCAGCAGGACCAGTTATTCCTGTTTTTTCGGATTTTCCAGGAGGTCCCATGGGACCTTGAGGACCTTTCTTTCCTTTTGGTCCCCTCCTGCCACGTGGTCCCCTCGCTCCAATGGGACCAGGATATCCGGGGGGACCTGCAGGACAGACTTTCTCAGTTGACTTACAGTACTTGGTGGGCATAAGTTGTTCAAACTGTTTGCTGATTTCTTTTCTTACTTCATGTATGGTGATGCCTGTTGAAGTGTCGTTCAAAACGTTTCTTCGCTTCCTTAAGCGGATGGTTGCTGATGCCTCTAATGATAACGGGCTGACTGCAGTAAAGTAATATCCAATGATTATATTAAAAATAAATAACGATGACGAACAAATCAAAGGAAGGAATGATAAGGTTGATATTTCTATCATAAAATTAACAACGTTTTGGAAGTTGCATTCAACAACAAGGTTAACAACTTTTCAATTTGTCCTCACGCCTCTTCCCTTGTTGCTTCTAAGGGAAAGCCAAGCTGACATTCTAGATTTCTAGATCTACGCACACATTTCAATCCCGGGGGGAAGGGTACTTGGGTAAATTTTTGCTGGGTATGTGACGCTGGCGTCTAGGAGCGCCTACCCCATTATAGTCTATTCTGTGACCAATTATAGACCCTATCTTGGTCACTTTTGGGCAAATATGTAATTTTGGCGATCCCAGCTTAGTCACTTTTTATTTTTAATGAATTGACCCATTTTTAAAACTGTATGAAGAAAACTTTACTTTTCACCTACAGTACAAGCATTCTGGTACGTTTGCTAACAGTAAATAAGAAGAACTGTCTTACCACAAAAATTTGGAAAATGTGCGACCCATTCTAGTAACTCTATTGAAAATGCGACCCCATTGTAGTCAATAAGTGCCCCCGGGTTTCAAACCGACTGAGACCGTTCAATAAACGTACTTTCAATCATGCCACCCTATCAGAGTTACCAAAGGTTTTATCAAGTAACCCGGCAAGCCCTAAGACTCCTTAACTGAACTCCTCTAGGGGCTAACCTTTCAAAAATATCTCAAATTTTACGCCACCCTAACAATTTTATTCAGACAGTGCTATTTCAGACCAATTTTCCCCACCCGTTCTCAGACCATGCAGACCTCAGTGTATACCTGTTTTCAGACCTGGCCTTTAGAAAGAAACTGTGTCATCATTACTTAGATTAGAGCGCAAACAAAAAAATTCTTCAAATGCATTTCGAATTCACATATTTCTATTTCGTTCTTATTCATGTGGAACTGAGCATGAAACGATAACTACATTTATGCATACGCTCCAGCACTTGGTGCCCGATTTGGGGAGTGGGGGATTGGGCCTTGCAATTTGTGAGCATCACAACATCACAATTTGCGTACTGAACTTAAAGACAAGAGAGAAGGTGTGAGTGTACCATAATCAATCTTCCTAACGTTGGCAATGTCACAATGCCACATAGGAACATTCAAAGGATATCGCTCAGTATGAAATAATGGTTAATAATCTCTTCGGCTCCGGGAAGTTTTGGTAATCATTGATTCATTTATTTGCTGTTCACCGATTTCAATAGTGGTAAGGAACTTAAAGTTGTTGTCTTGCGAGGGTGATTTATTTGGAAAGCCGTGTTATTTTGCTTTGATTTCGCGTTATCAGGTTAAAACAAAAGAATTATTTAAGAGTCTTTTTTCATTGTTTATTTGATGATACATCACAGGATATCACCGACGTATTTCCGGTTGTCGCTTCTTCGGCTGAATTGTTTGTGCGTGGCTTAGTGTGATAGTTTGTTTAGACAAAAGAGTTAATGAAAACAGTTTGCTGTTTTATTATTTGGTGCTTCAGATACAATCGTCCTCTTGATAATGACTAGCAAGAAGCGGGTTCGGAAATCGTTCTCAGTCGATGACCTCAGACAAGAGGGTCAACGAGAGAAACACAGGACTTTCGATCCTTCGAACGAGCATAAAATGGTCAAGAAACACTCTTTTTGTGACGCTTACCGGACGTTTCGTACCCACGGACGTTTCGTACCCAAAGTTGAGATGATTCGTACCCAACGCTAAGATGATTCGTACCCAAAGCTTAGATGCTTCGTAGAGAGATAAAACAAATCCGTAAGAACGAGGAGCAAGAAACACTCAATGCGATTATACGATTCCATCAACGAGAAATCGGCCGTTTTAAGGCCGAAACCGTGAAAGGAAAGCGAGCCGCACCGGCTATAGCACTGAACACTAAGAACTGTAGTATGATTGAACCAGCGCGCGCAGCGCAAGCTGAAAACAACGTAACGATCGAAACAGTAAAACACTTTGGCACAAATCGCCCAGTTCGGCAATATGATGGAAAAACTAGGAGCAATTGAAAATAGAGAAGTTCAAAAGTACACATGTGTATTCTCTGACTCCCACCACAAACATGGGGCCAAAAAACAAATTTTAAAAGCCAAACGGCTAGCAACTAATAAGCGCAAAGAGCGCAGAAAGGTCAGACGCCAGAAAAACTATCACAATAGAGGCGAACAAAAAAACACATTAAAAAAACTCTCAAACAAAGAACTTACAAATGACCAGATTAATTGGGCGTCGATAAAATCCGGAACATGGAACATTCCGGAACATTCCGGAACATTCCGGAACATCCCGGAACATGAAAAAATTAAAATATTTTTTTAGGAAAAAATAATTAATTAATGAAATAAAAATATTAATAATTATTATTATTATTATGAATAATAATAAAAAGAATAATAGATAGAAAACAATTTTTGCAAAAATTTATAATAACAAAATAAATAACACAACATAACATAACATAAAAACGAAAAATAAAGAAGCAAAGAAAGAAAGAAAGAAAAAGAAACTGGTATCATCTCCGAGTATGAGAAAACAATATTTTGTCCCAATGAATTTTTTGGGTGACTGAGGGTCCATTCAAATGACAGTAATGAGTGAAGGCTTGCTTCTAAATTCAAAATATATTAAAATGGGTTGCGAGGAGGGGGTTTTCAAGCTTTCCTCACACAGCCACCTCTTGTAAATGTTTGCCATGCGGTTTAACGGTTATCAATTTACGGCTTTGCGACCGTAAGAAGAGCTTAGTGGCTCGTCGCTTTGGACTTGGATAATTAAATTAAACATTCACATTCGCCGCAGAATAGTTGCAGTGGCAGTGGTAGCGCAGCGGTAGTTTCTAACTGTTATCAGTTAGCCTGAATTTTAGTCGTCTCTCTGCAAACTCCTCTTGCGACTCGAGGAGACGTCTGAAATATCATGCTGACTGTAAACAGTATAGAAACTACTACGAATGTGAGTATTATCCACTAAAATCCAAAGACAGGAGCCCCTATACTCTTCTTAAGTTTACAGAGACGCCTAGTCTGTAAGTAATTCATGTCAACCTCAAGTGAAGCAATTAGCACCTCAAGTAAGCAAATGTCGGTTATATATAAGGAGACTATATGTTGGCTTGACATGAGTTACTTACCGACTTGGCTTGACATGAAATACTGCACCGACATTTCAGACCATCGCAGAACCATAAATGGATAACCGCCAAATGATTAACTCATGGTAAACAATTACAAGAGGTGGTTGTGTGAGGAAAGCTTGAAAACCCCCTCCTCTCGACCCATTTTAATATATTTTGAATTTAGAAGCAAACCTTCACTCATTACTGTCATTTGCATGAACCCTCACTCGCCCAACAAATTTTAATTTGTTGCGACAAAATATTGTTTTCTCATACTCAGAGAGGATACCAGTTTCTTTTTCTTGATTATTTAATTTCATTATTTTTTGCTTTTTTTTGTTATTTTACGTTCTTATTAATTTTTACAAAAATTATTTTATTATTATTATTTTATTATATTTTTTTTTCATGAAAATTATTTTTATTTTTTCATGTTCCGGAATGTTCCATGTTCCTGGTTTTATCGACGCCCAGATTAATTTACTGGCAAAAGGGCTTAAATTCATTCCAACACTCGTTACAAAACAAACACAAATCAGGCAACAACTCTTGCGTGACTTTGATCAGTTTGCAAGAAGAATGCGTCTAATGTACATATTTCGAGGGGAAAACAATGAACCCCATCCTTACCATGTCAAATCTGAATGGGAACTACCAATACAACGATCAGTAGCCCTTGAAGTATCAGGGTGTGATGGCCCAACGGAGAAATTATCATCATTTGTCGACAAACTCCTTCAGCCGATAGCACAACAACAAAAGTCGTATCTTAAAGATACTACCGACTTCGTTAATTTCATAGAAAATACGAAAGTGCCAGCGGAGGTCATACTTGTTTCAATGGACGTTACGAGCTTGTATACAAATATACCGCAAGAGGAGGGGATAGACACGGTATGCAGAGCATACGAAATATTCTACTAAAACGAGCGCTCAGGCTAATTCTCCAAGAAAATTCTTTCCAGTTTAATGGAAAAAACTGCCTTCAAACACATGGTACGGCCATGGGCACGGAAATGGCAGTCGCCTTTTCTAATATATTCATGAACAAGGTAGAGACGGAAATCCTTAGCCAAAGCCTTTTTAAACCGCTCGTTTGGAAACGTTACATAGACGACATCTTCTCGCTCTGGACTACAAACAGAGACAGAATAGAACATTTCATTGAACAAGCAAACAATCATCACCCTACGATCAAATTTACGGCTGAAATTTCCGATAAGGAAACAGCATTCCTGGACACCTACATCTACAAAGGGGAAAGATTCAAAAGAGACGCAACCCTTGATGTGCGTACTCATTTCAAACCAACTGAGACATTTCAGTATACCCATTTTGGTTCCTGTCACCCGCAAGGAGTTAAAAAAGGCTTCATTAAAGGGGGAAGCCCTCCGACTCCTCAGAACAAACTCTTCCAAAATAATATTCGAAGAGAAAATTACAAATTTCAAAGCGCATCTGCTACAGAGGTTACCCAGAGGATCTCATTAACACAACCCTCTCAGAGGTGAACTTCAAAGACAGGAAACTAGCCCTTCAACAGAAACCAAAGACAAACCAACGAATCTTGCCTTTTGTCACACAATACCAACCATCAGTGCCTAACCTAAAGCAAATTCTCATGAAAAACTGGCATTTAATAGAACAACAACCATTACTGAGCGAAATCTACAAACTAGAACCTGCCCTCGTATCTTGTAAAAGAGGGCCGTCGTGTAGTCGTTTAGGCCTGTCAACCCCATATTACATCTTAATGAGAATCGTCAAATGCAAACAAGAAAGAAGAAAAACAAACAAACAAGCAAAACGGTGAGCTTATGCACCATAATTGCACGCGTAATAAGAAAATGTCTTTTCCCTGATTTTTGCACAGAGCACAATCTCGTAGTGAAACCCTTGTCACAATATATAAAGGAATCGTTTTGCTACATAACTCATCCTGTATTGACGTAACAGATTTCGGAAATGTTAAACATCTTATGCAAATATTTTGAAAAAAGAAGCTGCTTTGTTTAGTTTCTGTTCAGTTGAATTGCGCACTCAAAAGAGTGCAATGTTAGTGAATGTAATGTTTTTCCCGTGAGATAAAAGCGCTACGGTAAAGGTGAGTTCCCTTTGTGATACTTTGTGATACTTTGTGATACTTTGTGATGCCTTGTGATACCTTGTGATGCCTTGTGATACCTTGTGATGCCTTGTGATACCTTGTGATACTTTGTGATACTTTGTGATACCTTGTGATACTTTGTGATACTTTGTGACACCTTGTGATACCTTGTGATGCTTTGTGATGCCTTGTGATGCTTTGTGATGTCTTGTGATACCTTGTGATGCCTTGTGATACCTTGTGATACTTTGTGATACTTTGTGATACTTTGTGATACCTTGTGATACTTTGTGATACTTTGTGATACCTTGTGATACTTTGTGATGCTTTGTGATGCTTTGTGATACTTTGTGATACCTTGTGATACTTTGTGCTACCTTGTGATACTTTGTGATACCTTGTGATACTTTGTGATACCTTGTGATACTCTGTGATACCTTGTGATACCTTGTGATACTCTGTGATACTTTGTGATACCTTGTGATACTCTGTGATACCTTGTGATACCTTTTGATACTCCGTGATACCTTGTGATACTTTGTGATACCTTGTGATACTTTGTGATACCTTGTGATACCTTGTGATACCTTGTGATACTTTGTGATACTCTGTGATACTTTGTGATACTTTGTGATACCTTGTGATACTTTGTGATACTTTGTGATACTTTGTGATACTTTGTGATACTTTGTGATACTTTGTGATACTTTGTGATACTTTGTGATACCTTGTGATACTTTGTGATACTCTGTGATACTTTGTGATACTTTGTGATACCTTGTGATACTTTGTGATACTTTGTGATACTTTGTGATACTTTGTTTTTTTTTTTGTTTTTTTGTTTTTTTTATTTATTTTTGCCTTACAGACATATATTAAATGTTTACAGTACTAAACACTACTGAAACTAAATACTACTAACAATATTCACTATACTTGCACTATTTACAATATTGGCTATACTGACAATAGCATCCATACGATGCTCGTACTACTAATAATTACAATGGTTACACTACTTACAATTCTAGTACATCACACACACACACACACCCCCACATAAACACAAACAAAAAAAAAAAAAAAAAAAAAGGTCAGAGGAGTTACTTTTCATGTCTATTTTATAGCTTTTCAATTCTGTATTTAATTATCATTTTACCAACGAAGTCTTGGAGGAGAATTGGTTTGTTGTGTAGTTTGTTGGCGTAGATGTAGTATCTCATAAACAACATGGTATAATTGAATTTCCTTACTAGTACTTTTTCATGTAAGTCCGAGAGGATGCCGAACAGTCTTTCTTCGCTAGATGGGTTGAGATTGATCTTGTTTTCTATATTGAACCAGTTGATAACCCGTTGAATGAAAATCTTGACGAAATGACAATCTCTAAAAGTATGATTAATAGAGTCTTTTTCACCACAATATATACATTCATCATCTTCCTTGATTCCATAGCGGTAAAGTTCCTTTTTGGTGACTACAATTCGGTGGATTAATTTATATTGAAATTCCTTTAATTTGGTCTCTCTACAGACGGTTTTTAGGGAGGTGAATATTTTTTCCCATTTATCTTCATCCAAGGAAAGATCTTTGCTCCATCTCTGTGGCCCAGAATGACCTGTTGTGTGGATTTTTGTGCATAATAACGTATAGAAGTCGCTAGTCTTGATTTTGTTCAGATATAGAGTTCTCGATTCATTTAATTGTAGACTAAGATTATTATCAGAATATAACTCTTTATTAATTGGCTTCGTTGATTTTGCTTTGGCTAATAGGTGCTTTGGGATAGCGCTAATAACTTGATAGTATTGAAGGAAGTTAGTTTTACAGGAATACTTATTCGTAAATTCCTGATAGGTCATCGGTTGACCGGTATTGTTTAAGAGATCTTGTATTGACAGGATACCTTTTTTAAACCATTCCCTGATAAAAAAGGTTTTACTGTCAACAAGTATTTCTTTGTTGTTGAATAGAATTATATTTTGTGCTTGATCAAAGCTGTACAGAGTTTTGAATTCACTGAAGTATACTAGAATATTTCGGTAAAACAATGGAATAGATTTTATGTATTTCGCATCATAGTTACATCTCAGTAAAAAGTTCAAACCTCCGAATTTTCTTAGGTAATAATCAGGAACTGTTTTCCAATTCTGGTTCCCTGGAGTCAGTAATCTTGGAATCCAGGCTAGTTTTAGAGCTTTAAACATTATGTCGATGTCTACCATACGTATTCCGCCTCTTCCCAGATCCTGATAGAGCCCAGTTCGTTTAATTTTATCCCTTTTGTTTTTCCATAAGAAACTAAAAAACTTTGTTTTCACTGTGCTTGCGATATCTTCGGGAACATTAAGAATTGAAGCTGAATAAATTAATTGTGACAATCCTAGGGACTTAATTATCAGTACCTTCCCAAATAGTGTGAGGTCTCTAGATCTCCACATATCCAGCTTTGTTTGAAGTTTTCGTATTTTCAGATTAAAGTTCAATTCATTGTTACCCTTCTCATCATAAGAGACATGAATTCCTAAGAGGCGAGTCGGACTATGTAACCATTTTAGTTGTAAAGGATAACTTTTTTTTTTTCCCATTTTCCCAACCAAATTACTTTCGATTTCTTTATGTTTAACTTGAGACCCGCTAGCCTTTGTGATACTTTGTGATGCCTTGTGATACCTTGTGATGCCTTGTGATACTTTGTGATACCTTGTGATACTTTGTGATACTCTGTGATACTTTGTGATACCTTGTGATACTTTGTGATGCCTTGTGATACTTTGTGATACCTTGTGATACTTTGTGATACTTTGTGATACTTTGTGATACCTTGTGATACTTTGTGATACTTTGTGATGCCTTGTGATACTTTGTGATGCCTTGTGATACTTTGTGATACCTTGTGATACCTTGTGATACCTTGTGATACTCTGTGATACTTTGTGATACCTTGTGATACTTTGTGATGCCTTGTGATACTTTGTGATAGCTTGTGATACTTTGTGATACTTTGTGATACTTTGTGATACCTTGTGATGCCTTGTGACGCTGCGTGTTTTAAAGCCTTGTAGTGATACTAGAATTCGTGAACCAAATTTGTGTCACCTCACATGATAAGTGAATGGTAGAACAGACCGGCATGCTATTGGGGTGACGTTACTAAAAATTCAAGTTAATAAGGTATAGTGATTGTGTGAGCATGTGATGCGATCACAAACTTTGTGTCCTCAATCAGTTGTCCCCAAATCGTGCACTGTATATTGAGTAGGTTCCTCGAAAACCAAACCTAATTCCAGACCAAAATGGTCTACGTTTATAACCGTTTTCAGACCAAAAAGAGCCAAGAACTATACATCCTTTGTGTGCTCCTGTTATATGGCTTATATAAAGGACCCCCCCCCATGGGTATTGACCACATATCTTGTACGTGAGCAAGTCGATCGACACTACTCAACATCGATCATTTACACCGTTTATACCACTACATGAGAAATTTCTGCAATTTGATTGGCCTAGAGCAGTGGTATTTCAGCTTAATTTGAAATACCCTACACGTGAAAATTACAAACCTTTTGCGGGCAGTGGTATAAACAAATAATAGCACGATTTGTACGTGATATTTGGCATAAACACCACTCGTGATATTTCAAAATTGTCTCAAATTTCAAAATACGTATAACAATTTCGAAATATCACTCGTGGTATTTATGCCAAATATCACTACAAATCATGCTATTACCTATACAAATTTTTTTATTGTTTTACCAGTATAGGTGGCTTAGTGAATTTTTAACCTCATCTAACACTGTATAAACCCTTTTGCAACACTCTCGCTCTGTTGTAATACTGCTTAGATGATCCCGCATGTAAGCGCAAACTCACACCATGAAAGATTATATGCCTAAATCAAAAGAGGATAAACTGAGTTCTAAACAAGCATCTGCATCTAAATAATATCTGAAGTGAAGATCTTACCTGATGTATAACCGATCCTTTCGGATACATGTGTCTGAACCTTCTTATAAAGATCTCTTGCTATACCTTTTGTTGGTGAAAGAGATATCCTGTCAGTATTTTCAGTCGAGTCACTCTGAACGCAAGGGAAAAGGTTAACGCGAGATTCCAGCGCGATCAGTCGTTCGTTTGTTGTTTCATTCTTCACCCAGAGACATCCGCAAACGAAAACTAATACAACAGAAAGAAACGATGGCCTTATTGACGGTACAAAATCAAGGAGACGACGAGATTCTGCCGGTGAGTTCGAGGATTTCATTTCTGTAGCTTGCCAATCGTCCCATGCACGGAAGGTGGAGGTGAGTGGGAAACGTGCCAGTAAATTTGATCCTTAAAAATTTCGCCCGAAGAAGCATGCCATTAAGGTTGACGTAAAAAAAAAAAACACAAAACAAAACAAGTCTTAATAGGGACGGCAAGGGGCCACGTGCGGACCATGAAAACCTTAATGGGGGAGGTGGGAGGGAAAACTAAATGAATAATATTAGTGCACTCCAAGTAACGCCAAAAAATATTCATGCTTTGGCCCAAGATAATTAATACAAAGAAAATGCTAACGAAAAAAATTCATGCGACTTTCCTATTGGTCTGTCTCTAATTAACTTTCTTCCTCACGCCTCGTAACAATAATCATTTTCATTAGAGTGATTTCTCTTGCATATTGCGTGAACTGGACCATGGGACATTATGTTCACTTGCAAACATACTTTATTGAATAGTGGAAACATTCCCTTGCAAACTGGGATTACCTAATTATTTAGCGGCAATTTAAGCACTTCATACGTTACAATCTTGGACAAAAAGTGTTGAGATTTTGCACTTTCTTACCCACAGAACGCCTATCCCGCGGATTTGGTACCGCTATAGCCCCTCCCCCCGCCCCACCCTGGTCAAATTTGTTTATTCGGGATCAGAAATGATCCAGCCGGGCTTCAACATTGTTGTTTTTGGGGGCAGGGGGGATTGAGTATCTGTAGTTGCCAGTTCTTTCAAGCTTTACCTTGAAACTAGCACAGGACGAAATTTCAAGAATCCGTAAATGGAAACTTAACGTAAACACGTAAAACCGTTGCGGAAACATGACGGTAATCACATGTTTCCGTTAGCGGATACATTACGTTTACCCGTGTTTCCGTCGCTGCGGTTCCGGCGGAATCGTACCACTTTTTTCTACGTTTCCGTCAAATTTCCGTCTAAGCAAACACGTGTTTCCGCAAGAGTAAATGCGTGGCATCCTTGCGGAAACACGCGAAAACGTTCCGGAAACAAGTCAATTTCATGTTTCCGTCAACGTAATCGGATGTAACTATTGCGGAAACACGAGTTTACGAGTCGGAAACTGGTGTTTTCAAGTTATTTCCATCGTGAAAAAAAGCGCTTTTCACCATCTTGGGGGAGTTTTCCCGCCATCTATAGTTACAAAAACCCATTCTCTCGACATTTTTATTGCACAAAATAATACCACAGCAATCTTTCCAAGTACTTTCTTTATTCTTCTTGCTTCCTAAACTGACAATCAGGTCTTCTTATGGTATTTATTCATTACATTGGTTAAGTTAAATTACATTTTAAATATGAGTGCCTATTCACACTAGCAATGAACAGGAATAGTAAGAGGCTTCCTTTAGGAAATCCACTAGAAATTTTCTGTACGACTACGTACTGTTTTTTTGGCAAAGAAAATGTCAAATCTGTTAACAAATTAATACCCTTTATAGCAGATAGTGATAAACACTTTCATGTGCAGTTTATGGCTAGTGATATGTTTGGCTGTCTATAATAATTATTTCAACAAAGTGGAATATGATTTGTCGGGTGAATGTACATTGTAGTCCTGAGCAGGACTGTTGTTGACAGCGACTAACGTTTAGACAACAAGGTGATCACCATTTTCATGGGCATGGTCAAAACATCAGTTCCTGTCAACAGTCCCACTAAGTGCTATACTTACCTGTATGACCATATACCACTTACTCATACGACCATTCTGCTTCAGGATAATTTTATAATTATGGTGTCAGGAAATATTCTTACTCTTCTAACATGGTGGTCTAAACTACACAATTTTCTATGACCACTGCAAAGATTGAAATGCAAAAAAATACATCAACAAACAAAGTATGGCTACAGTTTTACATAATACAAGTCTGCTAAAACGGTTTATGTGTTTCATGTGTACGTTTTAGGTCACTTCTATGCTGAAGTCATTACTTAGGGCGCTTTCCATTTGTCAAAACTGACCGGCCAGACCATTCCAGTAGTAACGAGAATTTCACTTTTAATCACAACTATCCAACTAGATCAGTCAAAACCTAAATACTAATGCACAAAGGTGATGGTTTTTCAGCAAAAACTCTTCGGAAAAAGCTATTTCATTGTCAAAACGACTGCTCCAGCCATGGTCTGGCCGGCCAGTTCCGACTTTTGGAAAGCTCCCTTAGTGTCTTTACCCTTACACAAAATGCTTGACTTGTAGAGTTATGAAGAAGATACATGCATCAAGCCAATTTCATCAAGAAGCACAAACCATAATAATTCTTGGTGATTTATGCAGTCACAGCATTATTTTAACCTTGAAAAAGCTGGCCAAGTTTCAATCCATGATCATCTTTGTCATACATAGCAAAAGGTGATGGGAAACAGTGCCAATGCCTCAATTAAGTTTTAAATAACAGAACTGGACCATTATTTTTGGAACTTAATTTAAGCCAAGACACATTTAAGCCTCTCAAAGAACAAAATATAGCATAGCATAACCTAGCCCTTTTAAAGCAATATAAAATGCCTTTCTGGAAAAGATGTTCACAAAGTTCTAATAATTATTATTGTTATAAATGATTATGCATTACTGACCAACATTCAGTCAAGATGCCTGGATATTGGCCAGGCTCTTTTTTGCGAGGCCAATACCCAGCTATCTTTACCGAACAAGCTTGATTGGTTTGCCCACTTGAGTAGCCAATTAGAACACAGGATTTGCTTCACCTTGCCTGCTCACGGATTCAACCATAAAATTGTAATAAATAATTATGCTTTATTGACCGGGTGTGAGGTTAAGATGGCTGGATATTTGCGTCTTTATTGACCCTGCCTTCCCTTGCAAGGCTGTGCTCTAAGAAAAATTGAAGGCAGCCCAGCACTCTGAACTTGTGAAATCCAGTGTGCCCAGCAAATGATTTCTATGAAAAAGCAAAGATTTTCACCTGAGAACAAAAGTTACAGATGTAGGTGCACTGGGCCACAGAGCACAGCCTGGTCTTGGTCAATAAAAATACAAAAATGAATGAGGTCAATATTCAGCCATCTTGAATGAACAAGCTTGGTCAATAAATGAATTATTACATGGCCAAGAAGAGAACTTTTACTGGCGGGACCAACGCAGGAAATCCCAAGTGGGCCAAATGGGCTCACCTTGCCCCCTTGGGTAGCCAATTAGAATGCAAGGTTTGCTTCACCTTGCCCACTCGAGATAGCAGTTGGACATTTTTTGTCTTTAGCATAGAAGTAGTATTTCAAGATTAACATTTGCAGAACTTGACTAAGCATAAAGCACAGTAACTTGAGACTGAAATTAAGTTCCATGAACCAGCCTCCTTTGAGAGAACGTTCTGCACCAACATCACATACCAAGGTGATCTGCCTGGCCTGTTGTATGAAAAACAAAACAAAGTGCTAATAAGTAAAACACAGAAGCTATTCCCCTTTTAGCGGTAAGACAACTTTACTAATGTAGATATTCTCATACGAATAAAAAATACTAAATGAGTAATATACATATAATTTACTGGCCGCTTATTATTTTTGACAACTCAGCTGTCTACTTCAAAACTTTCTGACAACCCTGATTCATCACATTACAATAATTTTACAAGCATACAGTTGTGCTTCATAGTAATAGCTAGTACATTATGTTGCCCGCAACCTGCAACGTTAAGACTATAGACCAGGGGTTACATGTACATGTAAATGTAAACAGAGGCTGTCTATGATTACCAGTACCAGTAACAAAAAGCCTACTTTTCTATGGCACAACCTCCCTCAGGTTGTACATTATCATCTACACGTACAGGGTCAATACCAGGGGAAGCAGGGGAAAGTAACAAGGTCTGGGTGCAAGAAATGATGTTCTCACAACTTGTAAAGCGATAACCCTGGTGGGCAGCAGATAATTTACTGCAGTAAATGTATACTTCCGGTGTACAATGTATTACGCAAAACAAAGTTCCCATCAAACTCCCCCAAACAAAACAGTTTGGCCATCAAACAATATCAAACCAGCTTTCTGGAGAGTTTGATGCCTGAACAAAATCGAAACAAACCAAATTATATTGGAAAAAAATAAAATGTGAAAACTGAGTCAACTCAACAAGCCAGGGAAATCTGACAAGTGCTGGATTCAGAATATGCTACAATATTATTGAGGCCAATTATGTAGTGAAGAGTAATAACTGAGATGATTACCAAGATGATTTCAACTTGCAGATTTAAAGACTTTTTCCTTGGTAAACAAAATAAATGTATTGACATTTTCACAGAAAATGTTTATTTTAGAATTTAACTCTGACATGGAAATAATAAAAGAAGCAGGATCTTACATCACCTTGACTGCTTTCACACTAGATCAATAATTAACACACTTGTCATCAATTGCTTGGAACTGAAACGCTTGTTTTTGTTCCATTCGAGTGTTCCTTATGCGAGTTCCACTTTGTTTGATAACCCAACTCAATGTTTGACTGAATTCAAAAATCAAATGATCTATTCAATTTTTTTTTGTGAGTGGGTTTTGTTGAATGGCTGAGCTGCATCAAACTCTTTCATTCGAAAGAGTTTGATCTAGCTTGAAAGCCAAACATTCAATGTGATATACTGGATATACATGTACATGTGTTTCCTAAAGTAAATATTTTAGCAGTGAGAGGCGAACCAACAGAGAAAATATAGTCAATAATTGACAAAAATATCATGCCTCTTTGTTTTTCTCACATGTTGTAATTGTTTCTTGGTATTGAAGATGCAAGAGAAACTGAAAAAAATGTGACAGTCACCGCAACCATGTAACATCTTAACTGACAACAATGTATGCTGAGCTATGAGTGTGGATATTCAAGGAATGATCAGTAAACAAATCTGCTGGTTGCTTTGCAAGTTGTGGGAACATTGTTTGGATTTCAAGAGAACATATTTAAGGAGTACCCTCCTTCCCCCTGGTCAATATGATGTTTGCATAGAACTGCAGGGTAATACAGGATAAATAAAAGCGGTTTTACTAGTTTAACTCCACTGCTGGTTTTGCTGTCCACTGAAATGAAGACTTAGGGCGCTTTCCATTTGTCAGAACCGACCGGCCAAACCATTCCCAACGCAATGAGAATTTCCATTTTAATCAAATATCTCCAGCCAGATCAGTCAAATCCTAAGTAGTATGCACCAAGGAAATGGTTGTTCAGCAAAAACTCTTGGCAAAAGCATATTTCAATATCAAACCGACTGGTTGGACAATGGTCCGGCCGGCCAGTTCCGACAAATGGAAAGCGCTCTTAAAGTCTGGATCACTCTGTTACAGTCGATTTCACATTATTTACCACACCATGTTGCAAAGTTCGTTGGAAAATTGGGTACTACATCATGAAGTAGCCAATTACTTAGCAAGTTAGGGAATCAAATTGCGAACTTCAAGACATAGTTGTCAACTACGACTGAGCTTCACAAGTTTGCTCAACAGTAACTTCACTTCCCAGTTGTTTTAATCACCGAGTTCTCGTCAAAGAAGTACCTATTCCTGGGATCACAGTTACTGAAAAAAAATATATGCTTCAACTTTTTCTTGAGCGTTCTCAGTCAAGCATTATTATATTATTAGATTAAGCTCTCTTTTGGAACTATTGTCAACTCTTTCAGGGCTCGAAATTAAAAAAAACTGTCTGGTCGCAAATCTGCGACTAGTTACGAAAATTTGGTCGCAACTTTGAAAATGTTAGTCGCGAAATTAATTGAGGCCAATTAATCAAGAAATAAGTAGGTTTTTAAATGATTGACGCTTTAATTTTCATTCTTTCAACAGCTTTCATGTCATTTCGAGACTTAATAGTAGAGAACGTTTAGCGTCTCGGACAACACCAGTTCATCTAAACGATCAAGCTGAACCTGCGTTAAGGCACATAAATTAGTGTCTGTTACTTTAGTCAAAGCTATAGATTTCCAATGCTAAACCTCGTTTTCATGTATACGTAGATTCGCAACCAACTTGGAACCGACTTATTTTACATGTAAATCTTTTTTTTAGAACTAAAACCGCTCGATCGATTTCTTCGTTTAAAATGTGACCTTTGAAACAATTTAAGTCGCTTTCATCCAACATAATTGACTCACTAAAGAAGAACACATGTGTACTGTGAGGGCCGTAACACGGGTCATAAAGGCGGGAAAAGTCCTCAGCATGCTGGCGGGACTGTCAGCGGCAAATCAAAACGAAATATGAGCCTGCAATGTACATGTTTACAGAACCCGCTGAAAATGGCGTGGAATATCGTTGCGTGTATGCATTCCAGGTAAATTACGGTAAACCTTCAGATTGTAACAAAATTGTAAGACGCTACTTCAATGAATCTTTTTATTTCTAAATTTATTTAAGCAAAAATTCAAGTGCTAGTCCTTATATTTCGTATCAGTTAAGGCAAAACCTAGTCGCAAATTTGCGACTACTCTCGTTTTTCTAGTCGCAAATAAGAAAAATTAAGTCGCAAATGCGACCGTATCGGTCGCAATTTCGAGCCCTGTCTTTGCAAGAGTAACCGAAATCACGTGTCAATACATGACTTATCGAACCTTTGCGCGTCAACAACCTGATTTTCGATTAAATGTTTTTGTATTTCCGTAGCATACATACTTGGTCGTCGCTGTTTAAAAAACTCTGTGTAGGGGCTTCCTGGACATATGAAACGATCAACAATATTTGTTACCGTCCTTCTCAGTAAATTAAACTGGTGCACCATTTGGAATGGTTTCAAACCCCAGTGATTTTGTTACCTATGCATCTTGTGTCCCTCACACAAAAAATTATCCAAAGACGCAAAATAATTCATGGCATGCATCCCGTAGGATGCAAAGGATGATCGATCGATTTGAAGATTTGTTGGTAGAATATCCTGTTTGTGCGATTTCTGTAGCTGTTGTTTAAAGATGTATATAAATATTTTAGTCTTTTTGTGCTTTAAATATATAGGACTATATTTTCATTTAGTAAACTGTCATAAAAAGTTTTGGCATCTGTCTCCAGATTAACTGTCTGGTTAAAAGGCCCATACCAAGCATTTTCAATTAAGGACTTCCTGTTTTTTAACTGGGACTCACTGGTTGTGCATGTGGACAGGCCAGAACTCTTGACTATTCACAAAATGAGTCCCAGGACTCACCATGCATATACTATTTGTAACAAAATCACTGGAACCCTCTAAACATTTTTCTACAATCATTTCACAGACCTCACAGTGCAGAGCCTTGCCTTGTTTAGTAAGAGGATTCAGGTTCATTATGCCGCAGTTTCCTGCTCGGGAAATTACTGTACTTATCAATCACAGCTTTGTGTCAACAAATATGTCTCCCAAGCATTATCTCAAATGCTACAGACCACAAAAATGAAATATGGAAAACTGTTAAGCTTACCTCGTCTTACTATCGGTATTCCATCACAATCCTCCGCCTTGGATAGCCTTAGCACGGTAAAACACTCCAACTTTCAAATTATACTTGCGCATCACGAGGTTTTTGTCTCACATTCTGCTCCACTGTGTCAGAAAAGAGTCGCTTTACGAGGGAAGCGATCGATTACTGAAGGCCGATGGGTCGCTAAATATACATAACAACCCTTAGATGTCTTGTGGTATCATCAGAAAGCAAAAATATACCGATTCCACGCTCCTAGAACCTATAGAAGCTGGCAAATTTGAAGCCGGTGAAATCGCTTTCAAAATGGACGCCAAAAAGAATGACCGTAATGAGCATGAGCAAAGGAAAAGTCCGCTGACCAGCACTCCGCTCTGTTCTAGGCCCCATTCTCTCTTGTTTTCTCTGTTGTTTTCTCCGTCTAAGAGCATTTTAGTTTTACGCCAGTACTAGTACTGATTAACATCAATCTGGCAAATATTGAAAGCTGTTGGTAAGCTCTGCGATTTTTATCACTTAGAATGGAAAGCAATGCAACCTCGCACACTTCACAGTCTTTGCATCAATGCAACGTGCGCGAGTAATGCATGAGAACCGTTTAATCTCGAGAGTAAATTTACCTTTATTCACCTTGATTGTACGCCAAGGCAAACTTTACGAAACATTGATCATGCGATCTTGGACATGGGTTAAAAAAAAAAGAAAAAAATTCGTCACCTGAAACGTAACGGAAACAAGAAAGAACGGAAATGTGATGACAGAAATGTGGCGGAAACATGATCGTTCGTTTCCGACGCGGAAACATGGCGGAAACGCGTCCCGTCCATGGAAAACTAGATCACCATGTTTCCGCAGGGCGGAAACGTGACGGATATAAGCAACTTCCCGTTTCCGTCGAGTTTCCAAAATACGGAAACACGTTATTTCGTCCTGTGTAGACGCAGTATCGTCCATTTTTCTCAACATTTTTTTCAAGATTGTAGATGTGTTAGTACTGAGCCAGTTATACAACTATTTTGATTAAGATTCTAGTTGAACGCCACTATGTTTATCTTGTATAGTTAAGGTTAATGGCGACAGACTTAGCCGCCCCTCTCTAAGTGCCACACAACGCATATGCGGGATAAGTAACTCGTTGTCCATTTTTGTTGTATTTACAATGACAGCTGCTTGACACGGTCTTTTACTAGCGCATGTTGTTTGTTAGCAGTGTCTTAGACATAAATGAGTCTTTTTTGTATTGTTTATACATACGACTTACAGTTCCCCAAGTAGCCCACCTTACTTTGTTACATTACAAGTGTTTGATATCGGGACAGACTGAGTGGACCAGCCCTCGGGTTAGTATTTCAACGCATATGCGGACGTACTGAATTGAGCTCTTGGGCAAGAAAATAACTCATTGCCCCTTTTTTGGTTTTATTTCCAATGACATCAGTTCATGAAACAGTTTTTTTTACTAACGCGTGCTGTCCGTTAATCGAATCTTGACGTGTGCTTAAAGCGCTCGATAACGTTCGCGCGCTTGCACAATAGCGGCTGAACCTTTCGGTAGGTGACGGGTTTAACTCATACACATAGTAAGCTTGACACTCTCTAACGCGTATCTGAACTGTCCTGTAACAACAGCTTAATAATCCGTGGAAACAAACTCCGCTCCTCACGATACTATCTTCAAAGGTGGGATGCTCGCCATTCAGCCACCCAGTCAGATCAGAGCTGCATTTGCGAACGGGGATACAATTGTCTACCATTGTTGAATATGAACTTGACTGGAAGCGGTACCAGCCGGGGACGAGTTTGTTGTCCAGTGAGTTACTACCATAGCCAAAGGACTGCTGTCGATTAGGTTCACTAAGAACCGTGTAGTCTCGACACTGTAGTGCATGTGAATTTAAAAAAAGGCCAGTGATGAGAAAACTATGGGCCAAAATTGAATATCTAATTGAGTTCTGCTAGATTTTCTACTGCTAGCTACCCGGGGGGGGAGGATGGTACTCCCATACATTACCTATATGGGTATGTGCCGCCCAACGGGGTCGTGATTTTGAAACTCCTAGTTTAGAACGATGTACCCATTTCAGAGGCGTTTTCTAGAACGGGGTAAAATATTTCGAACGCACGAAATCTCCAGTTTTGTAAGCAGCCATTTGAAATTATTCAAGGGCAGATTGCTTTTAAAAATACGGTTCAATGCGTTAACAAGCAAACTGTTGTACTCTTTTTGCACCCTGTGTTTTAGTGTGCAGGGCGGGCGTATTTTGGCGCGAGCCGCGAGCGCTGACTCCGCCATCTTGGATAAATAGGCGCTTGGAAGTCTGGAACGAGTCCAAAATGTACCCGGGGGAGATGGAGACGGACTCAAAAGTAATAGGGACGAGGGAGGAGAAGGAAAATCGTTAGCTTACGAGCGTGGTTCTGTGCGTGGAGAGATTTTGCGTCATTTTTGAGAGATTTTGTGTCATAATTGACCACATTGTATCCACATGCACAGGAAACATACTCCGGATGATTATGAAGAAGCATTTATTTGATGTATAGGTCTAACAAATAAAGAAACGGGGTGCCAATTTGGAGTCCCGGGAGGCACATATCCACCTATAAAGTGCTCCCCCCCGGGCAGCTAGCACACAATGAACAGCTGAACATGGAAATTGGCATGTAACGGGAAAAAAAAGTATGGCAGTGCTCCAAACCTCTAATTGTAAACATCTCACAGGCCATAATCCTCTGATTCGCTCTGACGAGGGCTAGTGCTCGAAACTACCAGCTTCTCAATTCCCCACGCTGGCCAATCTTTTTTATAAACCTTTGAAAAAAACAATCTTTGTATTTCACTACCCCACTGACGCTACACCACAGTTTCTTTAGAAACCTTACCCCTTTGTTCATCTTTAACTTAATAGCCAATAAGCGCCATATACCAGATTAAATTCCTCGGAGAGGGAGGGACCGGGGGTATGCAAAAGCAGGAGGCACAACGAAGATCTTAGAAAGAGTTATTCCATTACTGAGCCACGCAAAACATTATATGAATTACACCTTCCCTTGCTATGAAACTAAGGTAGCCTAGCTTTTTCAATCAAAACTTTCGCTTATCCTGGCGAAAGACAAAAGTAAACAGTTTCATTCACTTATAAAACTATGAAGTGCTTTTAACAATGCCAAAAAAAAACGGAAATATTTTGCAGATAATTTTTAAGGGGTTTGTCATATTGCATGGTAACAGTGTCCTTTCTTAACTACCGGTAACTCAACTTTTTTTTATAAGATAATTACTTAATATTTAAAACAGCCGCTTCGCTTTTAGGAAATATATTATTATTAATGACCTATTTACTTTAAACGTAAAAAAATGTATCGATCTAAATGCGCAAATTTTTCTCGATAGAGCAATGATTTTGAGATTATATTCTTTTTTCTTTTAAAGTATTTTAAATATTTTTAATTGATCACCTCCTTTCAACTAATGCTGCATGAGTAGGCTATCTTTAACTTGTAAATGAAAGTTCTTATTAGAGACTTTTGTGTTCTCTTCTTGCTTATTCAGGTGCCTCGGTTTACTACTTGGCTGTTAATGATTGTTAACTCCTCAGTGATTATGCAAGGTGCACAGCTGTGTCAGCATAACTGCACGATTCCAACCAAGAGCCTGAAAACGTGAGAATATCTAGGAAGAGGCGCCAGTCTTTTTTCGGATGTTCGCCTCAAAATGCCAATTTTTTATGCTCTAACCAAAAAGAAAAAGAGAAAACTAAATTAAAACCAATAAATAAACAAATACCAAAACAAAAATTGCAAAAAACCCAAATTGAACTCCGCTTCAATAGTAACTGAGTTTTTCAATAGCTGTGTTATTTATACCTTTTTTTATCATCGTTTTGAGCCGTTTTTTTGTGTTTCACTCAATATGGCAGCGGTTCTTACTGTTTGAACTTTGATAATTGATCAATTACGAGACACACTTGCTCCCCCCTCCCTCCCCCCATTATGCTACAAAAGAACTGAATAGAAAGTTATTTGCATTGTCGATAACAACATGTTATCACAGTCTGCTAAACCGTCAGTGGGAGCCTTAAAATGTAAAATTTAAAACGAGACAGATTTAGCCATTAAATTCGGAACCAGGCAGGCAGTAATGAATTTCCGAATTAAATATTAAACAATTTTATTAGTTAGATGAGGTTTTCGTCATATTCGGCGGGAAAATCAAGGTCGAGGTAAGAGTTATTAATCGAGCTGAAGGCGGAAACTTACCAAGACCTCGATTATTCCGGATATCACAAAAGCCTCATCCAAAAATTGTTGCTTTGCACTATTTTCTCCTGTTTGAGGCAGTCTAACTGGTTCCCAGCCTGGTTTGTTCACAACTGAAACTAAAAAGGCCTTAGGATCGTATTGATCACCAAAGGGTCATTACTTCAACTTCATTTTGAAAAATGAACAACTTTCTATTAACTATGCAAACTGAAACAAGATGAAAGTCCCTCGATTCCAATCAAACACCTGTAAGGTTGCAGATTTACACACTAGCTATTTTCTGTTGCATCATTTTAACCTTACCAGCGGCATTCCATAATGAATGTATATCGTCAAAATTCTGGTAGAAAAATGAGTTAAAAACAGATATTTTGGGTTCCTGTCCATAAGTATCCGAATCAATTCGAAAAACTTGTTAGTTTCTGGCTTATGGGCCTTAAAGATTTGAGATAGTGATTATTTTAGATGATGTAGCATGTAATGTTTGATCTCACGAGGGCTGCAGCTTGCTTATTTTAAGACAATATCTTATTATAAGTAACTTTTTTCTTCACTGACTGAATGTTTAAGTTTATAATTTTAGAATACCACTTACTATAATATCAGTCGGCAAATGCTCTCGAAGAACACATTCAAACAACATCATTAACAAGATAGTAATTTAGAACATTAAGAAGGAGTGCGTGTTGAGATAGCCCTCCACAATAAACTGATTTAAGAGGATGACGAGAAAAATTGTTTAGAGAAACCCTGTTGCTAGAAAGAAGAATTTGATTAGCATGTATCGCTAATACAGGCTGTATGTTAAAGTAGACCGAAATGTTTACAAAACCGCTAACAAGAGTACCTCGATACATACTAATCAAATTCTTCTTTCTAGCAATCGGCTGGAGCTATCTCCATGATCTTTCACACACGTTTTTTTAAAAAGTGAAATTACTATGAGGTACCCTGCGAGCAGAGGCCACATTTTCGCTGTGTGAGCTGTCGTGCAAAAAGTAGCTTGAGTGAAATTGCATGTCAAACGTGCTTCGTTTTCTACAGATAACAGCCGAACATCAAGATTGTCCATTTTTTACAGTATTTCTAACCATAAAAACTTCATTCCAAAATGTCTCGATAACGTTCTTGCAGATTTCGCTCAAACTAGGTATCCAGTGTATTCGAGCCTAAGGCTGCGTGAAAACCGACGCAACAACTCCCAACTTTGTTGCGCCAACAATGTTGGGAGTTGTTGGCTGAAAAGTTTGACCGGTTTCAAACTTTGAACAACAACACGCAAGAACATCCAACAACATGCAACAGGGTGTGCAAACGGACGCAACATGTAACATCCAAGGCAATGTTGGTAGTTGTTGGCCAACAATGTTGCGTCCGTTTGCTCAGGGCTTAACACATACTGCTAACAAACTTATCTATGTAATGTAACCTGTATTATCGAAGTTTGTGTTGTTTGGAGGTGATAAAAGGTTGCAAACCTGCCAAGGTGTTAAGCTTGTCATTGATCACGAAAACTTTGAGTGTGAAGATTCAATCAAGTATCTCAGGTGTTGTCATTCATAAGAATCTGACTCTGAATCTGAGCATATCGAAACATTGATTGCGAAAGTGAATCAAAGATTTGGCTTGTTAAATCGTATCAAATATCTATTGCCTTTGGATGCGCGAGTCGCATTATACAATGTTTTAATAAGACCTCTCTTCGACTTTGCTGATACCATCTGGGGAGACAGAGATACTATTACATTAATTCATAATTTACAGGTCTTGTAAAATTAAAGGCTGCCAAAGTTATCCTAGATTTGCCCAACGATGCTTCATCTACCGACGCTCTCAAAACACTCGAATGGCCTACCTTATTTCAAGAGCGCCTTGTACATAGATACATTACCACTTAAGTACATCCACGGACTTGTAGATCACAATTTTAATATTTTGAGAATCTCAGACATCCATGGTTATAACACTAGACTGAGAAGGAACGATTTCCGTCTTCCTCTCGTTAAAAGGAATTACGGAAAGCAGAGACCTTTTTATCAAAGCGCTAAGGAATGGAACATTTTAGACGCATCTTTTAAAGAAATTAAGTCTCTTCTTCTTTTTAAACAGAACATTAAAAGCTATATATTTTAGATATTTTATAGCTTTTAATATTTTAATCTATCTGACTTTTTTAACATTTTTAACCTGTAGCTTGTATAATTTAGGTTTTTAGTTCTTAACTTTTTACTCATTATTACTATTACGCATTCATTTATCTAAGATCATATATTTTTCTATTGTTTTACAGGGCCTCACTGAAAATCACTCTTTGTGAAGTGAGCTCCCTGTATAAAGATTGTTACTTATGTTCTCTAACATTTCTTAGCCTCTTTTCATACAGATGCAAGGAGTTTTTTACTTATAAACCTACTGGGACAATCGATTTTAGAGATTATTTAGTTACAGTTATCATAATGCATAAGAAGATAACAAGCCTATTACTTAAACATAAAAGCCGGTTGTAACTCATTAGAATTATTTAACTTGCGTTGTTTCGTAAAACGTTTCTATCTCCCCTGGTGTGAACTGGTATGTTCCTGCCAGGAATGTTTGGGCGAAGGTGCTGCCGTAACTGTACCCGCTCGGTGGGCTGTAAGTATAGCCAAGGTTGCTATATGAATTGCGATGGGATGACGCGTAGTTTGATATGTGAATGTCATGTCCTCCTCCGAATGTAGGCCCATATGATGGGTTATCGTCTATGGAATGTTTCCTTCTGGAGCTATATTTCCCTGTCTGAGGCAGCTTGACGGGTGCCCATCCTGGCTTGTTTACAAGTGAGAATAAAAAGGCGTTTGAAGTCGTACCAATATCTAGAGCCAGAACCTACAAGAAAATAGAGATGGAATAAAAGTGCCATTTGGGATATTTTTCTGATACTCACTTGCACAAGGCACCCGTCACATGCAGTGACACATAAGATAGATGTTCGTGAACATTTGATGCCTTCTTTCACACAAATATATTATGTATGTTTTGTATACAACTCCAGACACATAAAAAAAAAAAAAAAAAAAAAAAGTGAGCGGGCGATGTAGTTCTGTCGTTTTGCCAGCCCAGTACTAAAGTTCCCAATAACTCATGAAGTGTGTTGGGGGTTTAATTCCTATCTGGAACTCAAGACTTTTTTTAGTTCTTCTCTCAACATATATCATTCCACTACATTAACAACTTAAATAAACAAAAAAAATACGCGTTCGACCAATCTGAAATACACGGCCGATTACCCGCTGAACTGAAATCCACTCATGATCAATCACATCACCCTGCTTACATCTATACCCTCGACAAAAATAACTCCATACACATCCAATTAAAACCACATCCAATTAAAACGAAAAAAATGTAAATAACTGGGTCGCCTAGTAATACACAATTAGTGGAACAAAATTTACAGAAACTAAGTGCTTTACAAATTATTGATAAAATAACCATGAGAATGTGTATATTTTGTGTTTGTCAAGCAGTGTTTCATTTTATTGCTTACAATAAAACTTCCCACAAGCAGCCAAATTTTGAACGGGAGATTAACAATCGGGGTCCTGAAACCTAAGAGACTGTTCGCTTACTGGAGCTAAGGTTTCCGTCTATGGGAGCTGTTTAAAAGCAAAATTTCGCAATTACAAAGCAATAGATTCAAGCAAAAAAATATTTGAAAAATAATAAATAAAACGTCAAGTAATTAGAAATTTCCTTTCGTAACTTGTATAGAGCAAATCTGGAAAATCATGATCTGTTGTTGTTGTCTTTTGCCACATTTGCTCATCCCTTGTAAGTCTAGGAGGGGGGGTCCTCGGGGCGGGGGGTGCGCGTCCGAATCTAGTTCCGCTAACCTGAATACTTCATAGGCTGCTGTTTAACCTTGCAAGGTCAAACTGAATCCACGTTGCTCAGTACCAGGCTATCAAGCTGCACTTTTAGCCCAACATGTCCATGCAAGTAACTGGAAAGGTAAGGTAACCGTCCCTTATAATGCGCACTTACCCCAAGATTTACTGGTGTATCCTCCAAAAATGTATCTCCCGACCCTTATTATTGTTACAGTCGGACCCTTGCCGTCACATTGGGAGTGAAATGTACTTGCAGCCCAGCCATCCACGGATGAACGCCAACAGCGTTTCCAGAGAGAATTAACGCTTTTTTCCACAGGTGCCAGCCAGTTGTTGAACGATGTTAAGTAATTATTGTTGCTTCCCACAATAACGGAGTCGTGCAAACCTAAGAGGAAAAAAATCTACTTCTTTTATTTGGCAAAAGAACGCTGTTATGGCCAAGAACATAACTAGAACTGTTTAAAAACTTTTCAACAGTTCATTTTCTTGCCAATTGTAACGGCATCCAAGTGACAAGAGACTGGATATCAAGTGCCACCTTATTTTCTGGCGAGGAAATTTTTAGTATTTCAAATTTAAACTCTAGTGAAGGCTCCCCTCTCCTTTTCCCTTTAAGAACCTGCTACTCACAGGTCAACCTATAACAATGACACTCCTTTTATAATAATATGAAAAACCATCACTGGCAGTCCTATACAAATTTAACTTAAGAAGTCTGAGTGATGTTGTGATAGAGTCCTAGCATATACAATGTCTTGAACTGGATATACGAACCTAAATGGTCCTTCAGTATCTATACTCTGCAACCATGGTCTCCATTAAGGATTATGTTACATGTCACTAAATGTTCCATTTATGTCTGTGCAGACCTTGCATGGGCGGATCTAGGGGGAGGGAGCAGGGAGTGCGCGCATATAATATAACCAGTATTCTGCAAAAACTAAAAATAAATAATAATAATGATAATAATAATAACTAATCTGGTTTATTGGTGTTCAAGGGGTTTGGCACCGAAAAAGCCTTGTAATAGGTTTATGTCACCGTTCGGTTACGCCATTCCTTAGTGGTGCACCCCCTCCTTAGAAAAATCCTAGATCCGCCCCTGCCTTGCCGCATAAGACAAACCTGCAGCTGAGCTACGTTGTACTGCCACATTGATCTTGGCCTTCTTCGTTCCAATGATGTTTGTTGCCACACATTCGTACAAACCGTTGTCAGCCGGGATTAGGTTCTTAATTGTTAATGTACCCCTGTTTACCTCAGCCCTGCCCGAAGGAAAAGGTAGCACCGCTCGAATCCACGTTACTACAGGACGAGGGTAGCCTTCAGCTTGACAGGTTACTTGAAACGTAGTGCCTTGTACTGGTGTGGCAAGTGCAGATGGAACTTTTGTGAAGACTGGAAGACCTGAAAAGAAAAATTATCTGGTTTATGCTATGAAGCCCTCATGCTCTAAAGGATTGCAAAAGATGCTGTTCAATTCTCGCAACCCTACGTTTCGAGAACATGAATCATATACTGACATATCAAATAAAATTACAGCAGCCTGATATAACAAACCTCAAACGTGAAATGCTTCTCTCACCTCGAACAGAAAAGTTACTTGTGGCCTCGGATGATCCAAGAATGTTCCTAGCAGCACATGTGTACGGCCCACCATCGTTGTAATTCAGATTTCTAACGATCAACTCTCCTTCTTTAATCAAATACTTTGCACCTGACAGAATCTTTCTGCCCTTAAATTGCCATTCCACGATTGGGGAAGGATTTCCTGCGACCGTGCAATAAAATGCCGTATTTCCTCCCTCTACTCGTGTCTGCTCTGCCGGCGACAACATCACTTGTGGAGCAGATATCGATTTTCCAGGCCTTCCGGGTGGTCCCGGCATGCCTTTTGGCCCAGGCTCTCGTTTGTCTCCCTTTTCTCCTCTCGGTCCTGCAGGACCCGTTATTCCAGTTTTTCCAGATTTTCCAGGAGGTCCCATGGGACCTTGAGGACCTTTCTTTCCCTTTGGTCCCCTCCTGCCACGTGGTCCCCTCGCTCCAGTGGGACCCGGATATCCGGGGGGACCTGCAGGACAGACCTTCCCACTTGACTTACAGTACTTGGTGGGCATAAGTTGTTCAAACTGTTTTGTGATTTCTTTTCGCACGTCATTTATGGTGACGCTGTTTAAAGAGTCATTTAAAAGACGTCTTCGTCTTCTTAGCCGGATGGTTGCTGATGCCTTTTTTGGCAACGGGCTGGCTGCAGTTAAGTAAAATTAAGAAAATATCCATACTAATTAATATTAAAAACTAATAAGGGAGAAAACAAGCGAATGAACGAATGAATGACAAGGTTGACACTTCTAACACAAAATTAAGCTTTTCAGAGATTGCGTTCAACAACAAGGTTAACGCATTGGAACCCGGAGCTTTTTAATTTGTCCCCAATCTTCTTCCTTTTCTACTTCCAAGGGAAAGCCAGGCTCCTTCTTGATCAACGCACACATTTCAAACCCGCGGGGAAGGGGGTTAGTCAACAAATGTTTATACGGGGAGGCTTCACCCCGAGGTCCAACCCCTTACCCCTTTTTTTTTTTCTTGAAAAAGTTACCCCTTTCGTATCCCTTCCATTGACAAATGTTACCCCTTTTACATAGCTTGTTTAGAACTTTGTATCCCTTTTCACTGCTGTAAATGCATTGTCTTTTAAATAGCAATCAATCAGAAAAATAGCACGTTTTCTCGACTTTAAAAAGCCATAAATTCATCTGTTAGCTTTTTTGTCTACAATATTAAGCGATAATTGTTTGTTCTATGAAGCGTTATGGCCGTGTCTTGTACGTTAGCAAGTCGTTCGGCATTTAAGCCATAAATTCAATATCATTTACACAGTAAATTTCTTTGCTGTTTTAACAGTACAGGCGGCTTAATCAATATCTAAGCAGTATTACAAAAGAGCAAGAGTATTACAAAAGGGTTCATACATTGTTAGTTGAAGTTAAAATCCAATTCTGTCATGAAATATCCAAAGATCCCGTATGCAAGCGCAAACTCGCACTATGAAAGATTATATGCCTAAATCAAAAGAGGATAAACTCAGCTCTGAACATGTATCTGCATCTAAATAACACCTGAATCGATGATTTTACCTGATGTATAACCGATCCTTTCGGATACATGTGTATGAACCTTCTTATCAGTAAAGATCTCTTGAAAGACATATCCTGTCAGCATTTTCAGTCGCAACACTCTGAACGCAGGGGAAAAGGTTAACGCGAGATTCCAGCGCTATCAGTCGTTCATTTGTTGTTTCATTCTTCACCCAGAGACATCCGCAGACAAAAACTAATACAACAGAAAGGAGCGATGGTCTAAGTGATGGAAGAAAATCAAGGAGTTGACGAGATTCTGCCGGGGAGTTCAGGGACCGCTGAGACCATTTTAAGGTGGTAGGGCTAAAAACTCTGGCCAATATAAAGAAAGATTCAGGTCGGTGTTTCGCCATTTATCTTGCATTTGCGCACCATCTTATTTACCACCTCAACAAATATAACATAAACGTCCACACGTGTTATACTATCCAATATAGCCAATATGTTAAATAAACCTCTTGAGGTTGCTACTTCTTGAAGTTACCCGAAGTGCCGAAGCTTCTTTTGCAATTCTTATTACAGGAAACAAACTCCTGTGTAGCTGTAGAGACACTGTCTATTCTCCGCTTGCGACCATTCAACACTGCTAGGTCACCCATCCTGGATAGAAGCCACGTCTTCTGACGCCGTGCAGATGAGAATGAACGTTCGTCAGTAGCGCTGGTTGCAGGATTTACAGCAAGCAGCTTACAGATAGTTTGGGATTTCTCTTGGTTTTGGAAACTTTGACACCGCCAACAGGATTTCGTCAAAACATGCTATCTTCTCCTATAACATAACTTCCAAAATACTTAGTTGCATGCCCAGGTAGCGCCCCTGTATCAAAACATCTTCTCTGTATGATGCTTCAAGGAACTTGAACTCTGCCTCACAGTCGTCACCATTAGCAGCTTTAACCAAGAGGGTCTCCATCTGGGCGTAGGAGCTGAAGCTTTCCTGATAGATGGCACCGACGATAAGATCAACAGCCTCATAATAGACCCTTCTAAAGTGATCTTTGGCAGTTTGGGGGGAAGCTTAGTGCACCAGCACCAACCTCCAGTCTGGCTGAAGTGCATCGCTTTCAGTAGAAGCGTTGGTTTACCAAGCAAGCCTTCGCTCTTGCGCGAAATATTAGCATAGAAATGGTCGAAGCTCTAATCACTGGGCATTTTTTTGATCGTCTCCTTTGTTAGATATGCCAATGTCAGGCCTTGGCCACTGACAGCAGCCACCTTAGTACCCTTAAGATCCTTAGATAGATTATCGGTGTAGGAATAAAGCCGCCCTCCAAGATGCAAACCAAAGAAAAAGTCAAATCGTTCCATTTAGGTCTTACATCCTATTATCCTTGCACGCACATCGGGTTGTAATCGTTCGTACAAGCAAACATCCCACTATTCCATAAGAACTGCATAGTTCTCAAGGATTCGTCGAAAACAACTGGCTCTAACCGTCCACCTTTTAGGGAAAAGTCCAATAATTCCACGATAACGTTTTCCATGTCAACTGGAGCCCTAGAAAATAAATCCCAGCAAAAAAGGGGTAGGGCTATCGCCCTACCAGCCCCTCCCCCTCCGCGGTCCCTGGAGTTCGAGGATTTCATTACTGCAGCTTGCATGCCAATCGTCCCATGCATATGAAGACGGAGGTAAGTGGGAAACTTGCCAGTAAAATTTGATCCTTAAAAATTTCGCCTAGAGAAACATGTCATCACGATTGACGTTAAAACAAGGCTTTATAAGTAGTGTCATAAGGGACGGCACGGACAGTTATGAAAAAAATTACGTTATGGGGGAGGGGGAAGGTGAAGTACGAAAAGGAGAAAATATTCGTGTAAGGGAAACTACCCTAAATGAAAAAAATTCATGCACGCCAAGTAACGCCAAAAAATATTCATGCACTAGCCTAAAAAATTCGCAAAAAGGAAATGCTAACGCGAATTCATGCGAGTTTTCGATAATTATGGTCTGTCCCTAATTGACCTTTTTCCTTTTAGCATTTTCGTGTTCCAGTAAAACGTGCTCAATAGCGGGTGAAAAGCGGAAAAAATTCAGTATGATTTACTGATTGATTTCTTTTTTTTTTTTTTCTTTTTTTAATTCATGATTCCAGAAATGATTTTCATCAAGATGGATGATACGCTTTTTAATTTTGTAGTCTATTTCAGTCTGAATAAGAACTCTGTTAACCATTGGTTTTTCACTCCCTTTATGAAACCAGATTATAACAGATACGGTGAGGCCCCGCGCGCCTGAAAGGAAATAGGGAGCTTAAGGAACTACGACGTCGATCACGACAACTTAAAAAAAAAAACAATAGGTTTAATGATCAAAACAACAGCTCTGACGTGCATCACGCTTTTTAGTACATTTCTTTGACGTCCACTGCACGACTACGACGTGAACCCTCCTAATTTGACGTTTTATGGAGGACGTGGAGATACGACGACGAATTTTCCTTCCTCTTTTTGAACTGGAATAAATTCTTAACAAATTCAACTCCACGAAAAGTCTCCTGCATTTGACGTATTGAGCGGGTCCAAATAGACGCTATTAAGTTTGAAAGAACGCAAATTCTTTTTTTAGCGACGTTTTCACTGCCGTCTTCGTCGTCGTTGGTTAAGGTCCCTAATAACCTTTCTCAGGCTTCAGCTTAAGCAAAGGGGAGGGAATTCAGGAATAGAATTATTTGAAAGGGTAGGAAAACCTGTCATTCAGGCATTTAAAAGGAGATTAACACGATGGTCGGTTGCCATGGCTTTTCCTCCCGCAACTTTCAAAACTGAGTTTTTTAGGCCATGGACAGACGTATAGAATTAATGCAACGATTTTATCGAACCTTGGCAGGAAGTAGTTGGATGAATTACGTGCAGTAAGTGTTCATTAGTTACAATTTCATTCCATTTGATTGCTATTAATAGTGAAGTCATAAATGACGTCTGAATTCAGCATGAAGTAGAATTTAGGAAAGCAATGTTGAAAACTTTAAATCAAGTTTCTGTAGGTAATTCGATGATTTTTGGTGAAAACTACATTTCAATCAGATAAAAAGGCTTAAAGTTAGAGCTATATTGAAGATGAAAACAACAACATGATATTAATTTGAGGAGGACTCGGAAAAAAAAAAAAATCCGAGTCCCAGATGGGATTTGAACCCACGACCCTCCGTGATCTAGTCGGATGCTCTAACCAGTTGAGCTACTGGAGACTCCAATTTGTGGCCCTTGCTCACCATAGAGTCTCCAGTAGCTCAACTGGTTAGAGCATCCGACTAGATCACGGAGGGTCGTGGGTTCAAATCCCATCTGGGACTCGGATTTTTTTATTTCCGAGTCCTCCTCAAATTAATATCATGTTAAAGTTAGAGCTAATTCAAAAATTCAAGTTCCCCGCCACATGACCAGCATACATGGTAAACCTTTAGGGGTATTTAAAAGGCGAGAACAATGAATGTATTGGCACAGGAGCAAAGAGAACGTTGCATAAAATCAAAATTGTAGTTTATTTGACTAATAGGTTATATGGTGCTATGACGCGTTTTTCGTCACGAAATACTTCATTACTCCTTTTTATATCGGACTGACGTGGTTTTTCACCAAAAATCATAGAAGTCCCCACAGAAACTTGATACAGTGAAACCTCTATTAAGCGGACACCTTCGCGACCTTCCCAAATGTCCGCTTAATAGAGGGTGTTCGCTCAATAAATAGAGGTTTGTAAAAATTGCGCAATGTTAGTTAACGATTAACATTCAACGGTTACTCCGGCTGTACTGTGATAAAGTTCCATCAGAGGCACCCAACGACAATTTTCGGAAAAATCTGTCGGGAAGACGATTTGAGATCTAGAATTTTCGGACATTTGATGTAAAATTTCTTGCTTGCCTGCTTCTCCTAGGATTTTCGAACATCTAAAATATGGTATAATTGCTTATTTTTAACGGATTTTTACCCTAAAAAGGTCACCTAAAATTTTCGGGAGCCTTTTTTCTGGCTGAAATTTTCGAAAAGGTAAGTTTTGATCCCTATAATTTTCGGATCACTAGACTTTCAGCTAGGAAATCCGAACAGATGAAAAATTTTTAGGGGATAAAAATATGCCTATATCTACCGTTTAAATACCAAAATACGTTTAACAATGCTATGTTTTATAGCGGTTTTGAACTAAATTCTCGTTGGGTGCTCCTGTTCCATGTTGTTGAGGAAGCTAAGGAAGCTAAGGAAGCTGTGCTTACTTTGTGCAAGACTTTTAGGTGAAATTTTGACAGCTAAATAATGTATTGATTTATCTTTATTAATCGACTACAGTACGTATTTCAAGGACGAAATTCATTACTGCACTATTGTCAGTTCAGCCGGTGTCCGCTTAATAGAGGTTTTTAACAATGGAAATTAGTGACTTAATAACAATAATAATAATATATTATTGGGCTTTATAGAGACTTTTGTTCCTGGGTCATCGTTAAGTTTGATCAAAAATAAAGCTCAGGTTAAACAGCGGTGATAAGTATTGTGAGCTTTCGGATTTCTTTTAAGTTGACGTTTCGTATGCGATTCAAGATACATTTTCAAAAGTGATCTAAATACATTTTCAAAGGTATTTTTGAAAATATGTTTTCTAAATACATTTCAAAAGTGATAATTGGGCTTCTTTTCCTGACCTCGTTTCAGCAAGCAGTCAAGTGTGAACGTCTACTAGAACTAAGTACGTAGTACTTTTAGTAAAAGAGAACCATCTCAGCCCAAATATCAGAGCCGATGTCGTTCATTTTATTTAATTAGGTTGTTTCGTAAAAGGTTTCAACTTCGTCTGGTGTGAACTTGTAAGTTCCTGCCAGGAATGTTCGTGCGAAGGTGCTGCGGTAGCTGTACCCGCTCGGTGGGCTGTAGGTATGGCCAAGGTTGCTATAAGAATTGCTATTGGATGATGCGTCGCTTTTTATGTTAATGTCGTGACCTCCTCCGAATGTAGGCCCATATGATGAGTAACTATTTATGGAATATAACTTTCTAGAACTATTCTGCCCTGTCTGAGACAGTTTAACAGGCGCCCATCCTGGTTTGTTCACCAGTGAAAATAAAAAGGCCTTGGAGTCGTATTGATAGCTGCCATCTGATGATGCTAGAAGAGAGAAAGTAAAAAGATATTGAAAATATGTTAGTAATATTGTCCTAGTTCCTTTGATAATGTCATTGATTATATAATAATAGTAACATAATAATAATAATAATAATAATAATAATTAATAGCTTTTACTTTAATGAGGCAAATTCGAGTTGCTTAGTTTACATAAGTATTGCACATCATGTTTTATCAAGAGCTAAATCAATTCAATCTTTTCTGGTTTCTTTTTCATGAATTTCTTTATAATTTCTAGTATTGCTATAATTATAATAGAATCTACCGTAAGCGGTCACTCTTTGAACCAGTCAGTCTTTTAGCCGAAGAGAGATTTACACTAACGGGAGATTGAGATCCGTGTTTTTATGTTTCTGCAGGGATCAAGACTAAGGCCCGGTTTTCACAAGCGACATTGGCGCAAGCAGACGTATAAGCATGAGCATAACGAAACGCTTATGCACTACCGTAAGAAGCACAAGTATAAGAAAAACTCAAGGTTTTGATATTTTTGTATTTATGCTTTTGATTTAGTTTAAGCCATCTTCGCTAGGTCCTTATGCTCAATCTAGCTTATGCTTGTATATACCGTATTTCCTCGAATTATAGCCGCCCAACGATTAATCGCCTCAATTGAATAATCACCCCCCCCCTTAGACAGAAATATTTAAAATAATTACAATCGCCTCTCTTGAATAATCGCCCCCCCCCACACACACACACACACACACGGTTTCCGCCATCTTCTCTTTCTTTTATTCACTTGCCCTCCAAGTTGAAGTGGAGTTTGATGCGGTAAAACTTATCAGAGTGACGATTGAAGCTCTTCCGCCGAGGATATTGACAGTGAAAAGTAATCAAGGAGGCATAATGAAAGCACTAAAAATGCCCCGGTTTACTTGATCTCTTGTTGATGTAATGGGAATCAGTATAACATAACACAAAATATTTGGGGCACGACTTTCCGGCAGTGAGCAATGATTGAAATAATCGCCCCCTTTTTGACGAAAATAATTAGTAATCGCCCCCGGCTATTATTCAATGAAATACTAAGGAAGACGCTGGGGAGGACCAGGCGTAAGGGACTGTCCGCTTATCGGAGCTGAGGTGAGGTGTCTGCGGACAAGAAATGTCAATTAGCAGAGATTTGCAATATCATAAATTGCAGTTAATGAGAAAAAAAAAGAACAAGAATTAGATTGTTTTGTGTGACTTGAGTAAATCAAATCTTTAAACTTATGTTTTGTTTTTCTCACCATCTCCCAAAGCTTTCTTTTATGTGGTGCCATTAGTCATATTACTCTTACGACAGTAATGTATACTTTGTTCTTTTATTATTTATCACAATAACAACAACAATTATTATTATTATTATTATTTTTATTTTTAAGCACTATTCACAATTCATTTCGATCAAAAGCGCAAAGCGCGTGATTCGTCCGCTCAGGAGAGAGTTTTATGTGGTTGCAAGCTTACCGAAGCTGAGGTGTCGGCCTGTGGGAGATGTTAATTTTAAAAGATTTGCAATTACAAGCAATAGATCGGGGAAAAAATTATTAATTAATAATATATGTTCTTTTATAACTTTATGGAGCAAATCTCCAAATTTATCTGCTTTGTCTTTTTTACCACTTGCCGAAGCTAGAAGCTTCCTTTTTACATGAACTGGTGCATGTCGCAATACACGTTTATTGGTAATTAATACTTCGTTTGATTTTAAGGGTACTGTATTAAGAAGACAATAAAGAGTTTTAGGAGCCTTTATCCTTGAAAATGTATAAAACATTATGTATTTCTGTCACCCATTTCAGTCTGTCAAGTTCGTTCGAATCCGAAGAGAAGAATCCTCTTCGCGATATTTCGTTCAGGCAAAATTACGAAAGTTTGACCGGTGAAATGAACCTTCGTCTTGGTGTGTCACGTACTGGTGGACATGTCAAAAGAGGGTGTTTTTTAATTCTTTGCCAAAATTTGCGAATTTCACCAAAAACCTGTGGTGAAGTTCGTTAGTCGCTACTTTTGCAATATGGGAACTAAGGGATGGAAAATAGCAGGGTGGCAAGAAAGTCAGAACAATATCGATACTTTATAACCTAAAAATTATTGTAATAGTAGTAGCCTGGAATTTCGGCACGTTTTGACAGGCTAGAAATGCATCACTTATCATCTGCAAAACCAGAACTTGAGAAGGAGGGTGGTGGGTGGCGCTCATACACACCATGTGAGTGTAGGAGGAGCGGTCCTCAATTAGAACCTCAAAATTATTATAATTCGGTATTATTGGCCTGGAATTTGGGCACGTTTTGCCAAGCTAGAAATGCATCACTTACTATCTGCAGCACCAGAACTCTAGAAAAGGGGTGGGGCGTTCATTCACACCATGTGAGTGTAGGAGGGGCGGTCCTCGCCCTTTGAGGAACGAGGGGATATGGGCCCACATCTAGAGCTATTAACCTAGAACCTTTGTACGCCACTGCTTAACCATGTATGAAAGGTAGAGTTACATGACTCCATATTGCTAAGTACCAAGCTCCACTTTTAACTGAACATATCAATGACAATTACGTCAAAGGTATAAATGCCACTGCCATGGCTTACAATGTCACTTACCCCATGAAATACTTGTGTATCCTCCGAAAATATATCTCCCGACCCTTATTATTGTCACAGTCGGGCCCTTGCTGTCACATCGTGAGTGAAATGTACTTCCAGCCCAGCCGTTCACGGATGCACGCCAACAGCGCTTCCAGAGAGAATTGACGCTTTTTGTGACAGGTGCAAGCCAGTTGCTTAACGAGGTTAAGTGATTTTTGTTGTTTCCCACAATAACAGAGTCATGCAAACCTGGGGAGAAAAATTCGACTTTTGCTATTTGACAAAAGAACTCTGTTGGAGCCAAGTAGAACTGTTTAAAAATGCGGCATCAAATGAATCCTTTATCAAGTGTAACATTGCGAGTGACTAGAGGCTAGATAGCAAAAGTCACTTTATTTTCTGGAGAGCAAATTTTAGGATTTATACTTAAACTCGAGTATAGGCTTACCTCCTTCTCTCTCTTTAAACAATTGCTACACAAGCATATTCACCCTTTAACAACGACACTACTGCTTTTTAACAATCAATAAAAGGCCATCACTAACGGCGGTCCTATATGTTTTACGTTCCACTTAAGTATATACTGTAGTCTGAGTCAGCTAAGCCTATTAAAGTAGTCTTAAATAGCATGCAGGAACCCTTGGTCTTGCGATCTCTTTTACCTTTAACAAAGGTCACCAGGCGCCAGTTGGGGCAAAACGAGGATAGCGCTATCCAGCGGATAAATCTCTATCCAGTGGATAGTGCAATTTGTTTCCCTAATACTTATCCACTGGATAGTGATTTATCCGATGGATAGCGCTATCCAGCTTTTGAACAACTGGGGCCTGATGTTTATGTTACTAAATGTTTCATTTATGTCTGTGCGGGACCTTACAGCCTAAGACAAACCTGCAGCTGAGCTACGCTGCACTGCCACGCTCACCCTACTTTTCTTTGTTCCCATGATATTAGTAGCTACACAGTCGTATAAACCGGTATCGGCAGGAATCAAGTTGTTAATGGTAAGTGTGCCTTGGTTTATTTTCGTTTTTCCAGCAGGTAAAGGCATTCCTACTCTAGTCCAGGTTACGACGGGACGAGGATAGCCTTCAGCTTTACAGGTTACTTGGAATGTAGTGCCTTGTACCGGTGCAGCAAGTAAAGGTGGAACTTTTGTGAATATTGGAAGACCTGAAAAAATAATTATCAGGTTTACATACTAAAACTACATGGACGACATCGGGAAGGAGGGGAGGGAGGGGGGGGTACTCAACACAGTTTTATACTTGGAGGCTCCGCTCCGAGGTCCAACAACATAATATTATGTAATTTTCAACAGAAAAGATGCCCCTTTCACATGCGTAGTTTAGAACTTTGCATGAAGGGAGATCAACGCACTGTCTTTAAGATATGAATAAATCACAAAGGCAGAAAAATTTCTCGACTTTTTCACAGCCATAAAATCCTTCCGCTAGCCCTTTTAGATCTTCCTACAGACCGAAATGACAGAGTTCTCTACACTATTATGTACTTCAGCTAGTAAAACACCAACCCTTCCATATACCTGAAGCCTCAAAATGGTACCCCTTTCGGAAATAGCTTCCCCACCCAGGACATTAGAAGAAGTACCCTCAGGGGAACGGCAGGATTACAACTTCGAAAAATGACAAATTAGGTGTTTCCTTTACCGGGAAACTTTGCACAAGAAATTTTCGTTTGCATAACAGAAAAAAAGGAGCGATGAAACCAATTAGTCATTGGCTGGCAAATCTGTTAAAGGGTTTTTTCAAGAAGTCGTAGTCTGACGGCTACTAAAGCCTTAACCGGATTCTGAAAGCCTGTCAAAATAAAGGTCAGGTGAGGATGATGTTCTGTCAGTGTGCCTTCACATCGTATAGTTTTCTTGAGATGTTTATGCGCCGTTCAATTCTCGCAACCTTATTACCTTGCAAGAACATGTAACATATCATATTGATATAACAAACAAAATTTGACGGCCTGTTATACAACAAACCTCAAGAATCAAATGCTTCTCTCACCTCTAACAGACAAGTTACCAGTGGCCTCGGACGATCCAAGAATGTTCCTAGCAGCACATGTGTACGGCCCAGCATCGCTGTAATTCAGATTTCTAACGATCAACTCTCCTTCTTTAATCAAATACTTTTCACCGGACAGAAGCTTTATGCCCTTAAATTGCCATTCCACGACTGGGGAAGGATTTCCGGCGACCGTGCAATAAAATGCCGTATTTCCTCCCTCATCTCGTGTCTGCTCTGCTGGCGTCAGCAACACTTGTGGAGCAGATATCGATTTTCCAGGCCTTCCAGGTGGTCCAGGCATGCCTTTTGGCCCAGGTTCTCCTTTATTTCCCTTTTCTCCTCTCGGTCCAGCAGGACCAGTTATTCCTGTTTTTCCGGATTTTCCAGGAGGTCCCATGGGACCTTGAGGACCTTTCTTTCCTTTTGGTCCCCTCCTGCCACGTGGTCCCCTCGCTCCAATGGGACCAGGATATCCGGGGGGACCTGCAGGACAGACTTTCTCAGTTGACTTACAGTACTTGGTGCGCATAAGTTGTTCAAACTGTTTGCTGATTTCTTTTCTTACTTCATGTATGGTGATGCCGGTTGAAGTGTCGTTCAAAACGTTTCTTCGCTTCCTTAAGCGGATGGTTGCTGATGCCTCTAATGATAACGGGCTGACTGCAGTAAAGTAATATCCCATGATTATATTAAAAATGAATAAGGGAGAAAATATGACCAACAAATCAAAGGAAGGAATGATAAGGTTGATATTTCTATCATAAAATTAACAACATTTATGGAGTTGCGTTCAACAACAAGGTTAACAACTTTTCAATTTGTCCTCACGCCTCTACCCTTGTTGCTTCTAAGGGAAAGCCAAGCTGACATTCTAGATTTCTAGATCTACGCACACATTTCAATCCCGGGGGGAAGCGTACTTGGGTAAATTTTTGCTGGGTATGTGACGCTGGCGTCTAAGAGCCCCTACCCCATTATAGTCTATTCTGTGACCAATTATAGACCCTATCTTGGTCACTTTTAGACAAATATGTAATTTTGGCGATCCCAGCTTAGTCACTTTTTATTTTTAATGAATTGAGCCATTTTTTTAAACTGTATGAAGAACACTTTACTTTTCACCTACAGTACAAGCATTCTGGTACGTTTGCTAACCGTAAATAAGAAGAACTGTCTTACCACAAAAAATCGGAAAATGTGCGACCCCATTCTATTGAAAATGCGACCCCATTGTAGTCAATAAGTGCCCCCCGCCCCCGGGTTTCAAACCGACTGAGACCGTTCAATAAACGTACTTTCAATCTTGCCACCCTATCAAAGTTACCAAAGGCTTTATCAAGTAACCCGGCAAGCCCTAAGACTCCTTAACTGAACTCCTCTAGGGGCTAACCTTTCAAAAATATCTCAAATTTTACGCCACCCTAACAATTTTATCCAGACAGTGCTATTTCAGACCAATTTTCCCCACCCGTTCTCAGACCATGCAGACCTCAGTGTATACCTGTTTTCAGACCTGGCCTTTAGAAAGAAACTGTGTCATCATTACTTAGATTAGAGCGCAAACAAAAAAATTCTTCAAATGCATTTCGAATTCACATATTTCTATTTCGTTCTTATTCATGTGGAACTGAAACGATAACTACATTCATGCATACGCTCCAGTAGGTTCCTCGAAAACCAAACCTAATTCCAGGCCAAAATGGTCTACGTTTATAACCGTTTTCAGACCAAAAAGAGCCAAGAACTACACACCCTTTGTGTGCTCCTGTTATATGGCTTATATAAAGGAGTACCCCCCCCCCCCTCCCTGGGTATTGAACACATATCTTGTACGTGAGCAAGTCGATCGACACTACTCAAAATCGATCATTTACACCGTTTATACCACTACATGAGAAATTTCTGCAATTTGATTGGCCTAGAGCAGTGGTATTTCAGCTTAATTTGAAATACCCTACATGTGAAAATTACAAACCTTTTGCGGGCAGTGGTATAAACAAATAATAGCACGATTTGTACGTGATATTTGGCATAAATACCGCTCGTGATATTTCAAAATTGTCTCAAATTTCAAATTACGTATAACAATTTCGAAATATCACTCGTGGTATTTATGCCAAATATCACTACAAATCATGCTATTACCTATACAAATTTCTTTATTGTTTTACCAGTATAGGTGGCTTAGTGAATTTTTAACCTCATCTAACACTGTATAAACCCTTTTGCAACACTCTCGCTCTGTTGTAATACTGCTTAGATGATCCCGTATGTAAGCGCAAACTCACACCATGAAAGATTATATGCCTAAATCAAAAGAGGATAAACTCAGTTCTAAACAAGTATCTGCATCTAAATAACATCTGAAGTGAAGATCTTACCTGATATATAACCGATCCTTTCGGATACATGTGTCTGAACCTTCTTATAAAGATCTCTTGCTGTACCTTTTGTTGGTGAAAGAGATATCCTGTCAGTATTTTCAGTCGAGTCACTCTGAACGCAAGGGAAAAGGTTAACGCGAGATTCAAGCGCGATCAGTAGTTCGTTTGTTGTTTCATTCTTCATCCAGAGACATCCGCAAACGAAAACTAATACAACAGAAAGAAACGATGGCCTTATTGACGGAACAAAATCAAGGAGACGACGAGATTCTGCCGGGGAGTTCGAGGATTTCATTTCTGCAGCTTGCCAATCGTCCCATGCACGGAAGGTGGAGGTGAGTGGGAAACGTGCCAGTAAATTTGATCCTTAAAAATTTCGCCCAAAGAAGCATGCCATTAAGGTTCACGTAAAAAAAAAAAAACACAAAACAAAACAAGTCTTAATAGGGCAGCTGATAGGGACGGCAAGGGGCCACGTGGGGACCATGAAAACCTTAATGGGGGAGGTGGGAGGGAAAACTAAATGAATAAAATTAGTGCACTCCAAGTAACGCCAAAAAATATTCATGCTTTGGCCCAAGATAATTAATACAAAGAAAATGCTAACGAAAAAAATTCATGCGACTTTCCTATTGGTCTGTCTCTAATTAACTTTCTTCCTCACGCCTCGTAACAATATCATTTTCATTAGAGTGATTTCTCTTGCATATTGCGTGAACTGGACCATGGGAGATTATGTTCGCTGGCAAACATACTTTATTGAATAGTGGAAACATTCCCTTGCAAACTGGGATTACTTAATTATTTAGCGGCAATATATGCACTTCATACGTTACAGAACGCCTATCCCGCGGATTTGGTACCACTATGGCCCCTCCCCTCTCCCCACCCTGGTCAAATTTGTTTATTCGGGATGAAATGAAATGATCCAGCCGGGCTTCAACATTGTTTTTTTTTTTTGGGGGGAGATTGAGTATCTGTAGTTGCCAGTGCTTTCAAGCTTTATCTTGAAACTAGACGCAGTATCGTCCATTTTTCTCAACACCTTTTTCAAGATTGTAGATGTGTTAGTACTGAGCCAGTTATACAACTAATTTGCACATTTGCATCATAATTATCCATATTTGCAAGGGGAGCAAATATAGTGAGCTGCATAACATTTGCTGACAGTCAAAGGTGATGTGCATGTGACATTTCCTATATGTTTGATCCGTTTTGTGACTAAAGTAAATTTCCAATCTCAACTGTAACATTACATTGTTACAATAAAATTTTGTACACGCTGCGAGACTCTGCCCAGAGATCCAACCCCTTACATGCATCTTTCCTGTTAACTGTTTTATGTGTACTGTCATTTTAATATAAAGGAATCAGAAACCAGTTAATTTTTTTGACAATTTTACATTCACAAATTTCTTCTGTTAGTCTTTTTACAGAACGAAATGACAGATAGTCTACCCTGTCATATACTTTAACTCAGGAAATCCCTATCCTTTCATACCTGAAGCATGAAAAAGGTGTCCCTTTCTGACAGCGCCCCTGGCATAAACCTTTCCCGGGCTACTAATTTAAAGCAAATACACTAATTCAAATCCACTCGTTATTAAGGTCCAGTAGTCAGATCATTGATGCACTGTATTTCCTACAGTCAGGGCCATAGCCAGTATGAGGCAAACCGAGGCACTTGCCTCTGTCATTTAAGGTTTGATCCTGGCAGTGTTTGGTTTCAACGTAGCCATCATAAAGACCCTGAATAGCTAGGCGGGGAATTCAACCATGGATATTGCCTCAGTCCTTATTTTTTTCTGTCTACGGCCCTTGAACTTGGGTTACAAGGAGGATCTACAGGAGCTACCAGTCGAATTGTCAAATCCTACCTGACAAAGCCCCAACCCCCCCCCCCATAAACAATGAACAGACCTTTATTGGGTTACAGGATCACAGGAGCTCTGAGTTGGCCTTAGATCATGAAAAGTCTAGAGCTATAAAGAAAAAACTAAGGTGGTGAAACAAATTAACATGCAGCCTTTAAACTTCTGGACTGGACTGGGTTGGTCAAAGATGGGTTAAGATAACACAAGGTTAGGTCCAGTGGTCAGATCATTTACTGTATTTTTTGTACATCATACTAAAAAATCAAATTTGGTCCGAAATAAAAAGTTTTGTGGATTTCAAACTCAGTGTTGTGATTATTCACTTGTACATAATTTCCTCATGGCCATTTAACCAACAAACTTAATTCAATTTAAAACCAACAATTTTAGTTTAACCAGTATTTGTTGTAGTTTTGACTGCCCACCTAGAGATGACCACATCTCGATGGCCGGCTTCCTAAAAATGACCACATTTTGAAAACCCAACAGCCAATACTACAACAAAATATGGTGAAACTGCTCACAATTTTATTTGAACATTGTCTCAGCTGACAAATTTATGAAAGGCTAATTTTTCTTACTTTGTTGTTTGCAACCCTGAGTTTGAGTTTCATTGATTTTAATGTTGATTTTGAGTTTTACTGTTCATTTAAGTACTACCTATTCAATCCAAAAAAGTCATAGCATTTTTGCTGGCTAGAATTCACCTGAAGCCTGGTAATTTGCTTGGGATACAAGGAGGATCTACAGGAGCTACCGGTCGAATGGTCAAATCCTACCTGAAAGGCCCCCCCCCCCCCTGCACAATAAACAATGCACAGATCTTTATTGGATTACAGGAGCTCTGATTTGGCATTGGATCATGAAAAGTCTAGAGCTATAAAGAAAAAACTAAGGTAGTGAAACAAATTAACATGCAGCATTTATCCTTCTGGACTGGGTTTGCTCAAAGATGGGTTAAGATAACACAAGGTTAGGTCCAGTAGTCAGATCATTTACTGTATTTTTTGTACATCATACTTGTGGATTTCAAACTCAGTGTTGTGATTATTCACTTGTACATAATTTCCTCATGGCCATTTAACCAACAAACTTAATTCAATTTAAAACCAACAATTTTAGTTTAACCGGTATTTGTTGTAGTTTTGACTGCCCACCTAGAGATGACCACATCTCGATGGCCGCTTCCTAAAAATGACCACATTTTGAAAACCCAACAGGCAATACTACAACAAAATATGGTGAAACTGCTCACAATTTTATTTGAACATTAACTCAGCTGACAAATTTATGAAAGGCTAATTTTTCTTACTTTGTTGTTTGCAACCCTGAGTTTGAGTTTCACTGTTCATTAAGTACTACCTATTCAATCCAAAAAAAGGCATAGCATTTTTGCTGGCTAAAAATTCACCTGAATCCTGGTTATTTGATCTTAAGATACAAGGAGCGGGGTTGTGGCTTCCCTAAAAAAATTCTGATGAAGAGAGGGTCTTCATATACAGGAGCTACCGGTCAAATCCCACCCAACAAAGCCCCCCCTTAAAAATGAACAGACCCCTACTGGGTTACAGGAGCTCTGAGTTGGCCTTGGATCATGAAAAGTTATAACTATAAAGAAAAAACTAAGGTGGTGGAACAAATTAACATGCAGCATTTATCCTTCCAGGCTGGGTTGTTTAAAGCTGGGTTAAGATAACCCAAGGTTAGTACGAAATATGAATTCAGATATGAAAGTTTTAAAAACAAATTCATTTGAATTCCTTTTGTCTACAATTTGGTGATTTCATACTTAAAAAAAAAGGGAAAATTATCTGACAAAATGCTTTTGATTAAAAGGAAAAAGAAACGCAGGTTAAAATCTAACACTGGGTTAGTGCTAATCGGTCTTTGGAACAACTGGGCCCCGGTCTTTTTTTGGGTCCAATTCTAAATCACATAACCACTTTGAAGTGAGTCAATGGTACATAACCTGGGCATGTGTTACATTCCCTTCTGTCATTTGATAATAGTAAAGCCTAGGGTCGCACAATGGGCAGGGATCTCCAATTACTAAAACTAAAAATTCAAAATGACACAGTAACTGTTGTATACAGTTACAGAGGGCCCACACTACCTCCCTTTACATTAAGTAAATACACTACAACAAATCTACTGGACAAAGGTCCAGTAGTCAGATCATTTACTGTATTTTTCTACATCATAATATTATTATTAAAAAGCTAACAATAACAAGGCCACCCACAGTACCTTAAATTTGGTAAAAAAAAAAAAAAAAGGTTCTGTGCATTTCAAAGTCAGGGTTGAGATTATTCACTTGTACACAATTTCCTCATGGCCATTTATTCAAGAAACTTCACATCAAAACTGACAATTTTGTTCTTACCGCTATTTGTTCTAGTTTTCACTGACTATACCTAGAGATGACCACATCTTGATGGTAAGCCTCCTAAAAATGACCACATTTTGAAAGCCCAACAGCCAATACTACAACAAATGGTGAAATTGCTTTGTATTTCATATCATTTGTGAATAGAAACTCAGCACAGACATGAATGAATAATTTCTTTGCTGCTCTTTACAACCCTGATTTTGAGTTCAATATGATTTGTCTTTTAAACTGCTCAAACAGACTGGCGAGATTTATATCAGCCTTCACTCAACAACAATAACATCAGGTGCATTTCTTCACTTAAACCTAAACTTCTTAGACCAACGGGGTTTACACCATCAATATTATTATACCCTTTTACTAAATGAGCCGAATTTTAATAGATTTATTTAGAAAAGGAATTCACACAGTAAGATGACTTTTTGATTTTCCTTTTTAAATAGGAATATGATATTTTATAATTGCTGGACAAAAAAAAGGTTCCAGCTAAAAATTTGTTTTGAGCAGTGACAGTAAATCTCAACTTTGGATCTGTCTGAAGGCATTTTCTTTGCCCTTCCACAAAATCACTTTCTACTTTCACTTTGCCAGAAACTTTTGCCATGACTTAGTAACGCCAAGTGAAAACATAATATCTGAGGCATATTTCTTAAGCTATATGTCAGTGCTAGTGAGCAGTCATGGACTGCTGTTTTGAAGGGGCATCCGATAGCGAGATAGCCTTTCCAAAATCAATGAGCATTGGGTGGTACATATTGTTTACCTCTGTAAGAATAATGTTGTCACTCTTTATATCTCTGTGGGGAAACCTGTATGAGTGCAAAATAATGTTCTATAGCTTCACACAATTTCAGTACATTATGTTTCCGCAGAACACTGTGAAAGGGACATGGATTTCCTTAGCAGGGCACCGCACAAAGAACAAGAAAAATAATATTGTAAAGATGGTAAAAATATAACCCAAGGAAGTACACGTGAGGTTTCTGTTTTGTGACATTTACCCCAAACAGATGGGGTATTGATGGATGGGAG